TAAAAATTTATTTAGATTTTATGATGAAGAAGCACAAAATTGCCAATTTTTAGAGAAACACAGCGTGGATTATTTATTTTATTGCAGTTGCAAGTAACTGTTCTTCATTTTATCTTTCATATTTTCCACGGTGTAGATAAATAAAAAAAAGATATAATTTCAATCTTTTTTTTTAAGTTGTTAATTCTTTGATTGCTATTCATGACATGTCTAAAAAAAGTCCCCATTTCCTGTGCAATTTTCACACGAAGGTGTAAGAAAAATAAAGAAATATTCACATTTTTTCCCAGCAGAATACTCAGAATATAAGGTCATAAAATCACAATGTCTAAAGAAACAGAGAATTTAGGTTTGAAATAAGAATCTAATTTAAAACTGACAAAGAAAACTACATTTTGACAGCCAACTGTTGAAATCTAATGAAAGTATAAACGCTAACACTGGCTTGCTCGTCACTCCAAAAAACTTCTCGCATGCCATTATTTTTATTTTTATTTTTTGTAAAAACCGCAGGAGTCATGCGGGTGAAAATGAGATGTTAGCGAACGGTGTGTAAAATTAAAATGTTGCAGATGTTTTAAAAAGTGTTAACGAAGATCCCAAAAGGGAGTGGGAGGGGCTCTGGGACTGGATCCACCAGGTAACGGGAACACTTGTTATCTCAGCACCTGCCACATCCGACAGCAGCAAAGCTCTCAACACTTCACTTTTAGGCAGGCGTCACCTTTCAACGCATCATCACTTTCATAATCCCCTTACATGGTCAAAGCAGCAGCTCCTGCTCCAGCTGCTGACACCTGCTGCACACCCCTCGGATTTCTGATAGCAGGAATTTGGAGAGGATGATGCCACAAGGCACACGGACTGGGTGTAATTATCCCATGACCAGTTTTAACACCTCCCCACAACGCCTAATGCACTTGTAAACTCTTCAGCCAGCGCAACAGAAGCCGTGATCCAAACACTCTTCCCCTTTACCCTTCGTGACAACTCCCGTTTAACATTTCCCTCCAAATCTGCGCCGGATAAGAATTGAAACAAAATTTAAAAAAAAAAAAAAAAAAACGCTTCTGTTGGATTTGCTCAAACGTACGTCAAACGAATTCGACTGAGCAAATGTTTCTGTTCTCAAAGCTGATTGTGCTGCGACTGATTTCACAGAAACGGCTCCCCTTGAAGAAGAAATGAGAGACTCTTTTTACCCAAGACGCTCAGAAGACAGGTACATCACAGGAAATACACAAAGACGGTGGCAAGCTGACAGCGCTTTGTTAGGGCTGGGAATGACGAGCTGCAGAGGAAGGCCTCAGAAGCTCCGAGGCAGGAGGAGAAGAAAAAAACTCAACATGCTATAAGGAGAATAGTCAGAGCAGAGATGTATTGTACTTATTCTGAAGCCGTCACATCTCGCCGTTTTACATGAAAGCCATGCAGCTTTAATTAAAGAGGTCAGTCATTTTTCTGAGCTTTGACGTGTGGCGTGATGGGCTTCTCCCGGACCAAACCAGGTGGTTATTAAACATTAGCACGTCACTGTGTGAAAAAGCTTGTTTTTGACGCGTTTAAACAAACTTTAAATGAAAAAAATGACTAAAATTTTACAAAACGAGAAACCGATTCCATCTGAGTTGTGTTACGATGAAATGCGTCGCGTTTCGTTGCTGCCCTGCAAGAAAATATCATGAAAATGCAGTCAACAGCCTGTTAAACAGAACGGCTGGACATCGGTGTTTCTGAGACTGCACAGCAGTAATGACAATGCTCTGAAGCAGCAGCGACTCCAGATCTAACGGCGCCTCGGGCTGCGCGACGCCCATAAAAATTCATAGCTGTGGACGGAGACCAGGAAAGCCAACAGCATATTTAACATGACGTCTCCTGCACCAACACTGTAACCTCACAAGAGCAGCAATCAGGAAAATAATCAGGCCGTTAATAGCTGACTTGGGTCTCTAATGGGCCCTCTGGTTTACAGATGAAGGTTTTTGTCAGCACAAAGGGCAATTGTGTCACAGCCATCGTTCACGTCCCGTCTCTTCAGTCCCGGACCTTTATCGAGGATTTATTGTCAGTAGTGGTGTTGTTGATGATTGGAGAATGAATAGCTCAGCTGGAGCAACATGTGGAGGCTGCAAACTGTGCTTAAAACCACAACTTTGCCTTCAGAGGCGTGAGACGGCAGAACGAGGAGCCCAAATGCCACAGACCGCGTTGTTTATGAGGGATTATCGAATCCAGCCTCTCTGGCTGTAAAGATGGTGACCCCAATATGAGCGGATGTACACATCTGCACCGTGTAAGCCCCAAAATGATTCCTGGAAGGCGGCGCGTGCATACATGCCCTCTTCACTCTGCCAGTCCACGTTTTAATCACTTCCTCTGAAATTTTCTCTGGCCTTTTTGGCCATTTTCTCCTGCATTTCTCTCCCTCTCCAATTCCTCTGGTGACTTTTTGAAGACTTAAGTTCCACTCTTCCTTTTTCTCTCTTCTCACAAGGCAAATCCTGGGAGAGGTTGATGTGAAGACCAGGCAGAGCGAGCGAGGATGTGAAGAATACAAACACTTTTTTTTATTGTCCAGGGGCGAGGGGAGGGGGGTGCAGAAGGGCTTGGGCGGTGGGGGTCTGTAAAAGAGACGAGGACCTTATCACAGCCCAGCAGCTCTGTAATTCGCCACCGTGATAAAGTGGCGGCGCGGAAAACCTTACAAGGCTGGCACAATCCAAAGACGGATTAAGGTTTTCTGACATAAGCTTGCTGAAAAACTAATCAATCAGCCCATGCAGCATTATCAGGAGCGTGAGATTAAAGAGCTTCTCCTAATCCTCCCAACTGTACATTTTATTACACTTTCCACTGTTTGTTGACTTTAAATATACAATAAATAAATAATAAAAGCAAACCAAATGGAGCATGTGGAAGGGGAGGCGGGTTAAAAGGTCCCAGGAGAGGGATTTGGTGTAGAATGTGTGTTTTGTTGTGAAGACGCGGATAAAAGCGTCGTCCTTGCCAGAGCCGTTTCTGCTGGACGGAGAGGAGCGGGAGTTTCACCGACACAAACGGGAAATTATTCTCACGCTCAAAACTCCATCTCTGCTCATCGCCCGTGCACCACGTGGACGATTAATAAATAAAAGATTGAAAATTAGGGCCAAATCCTTAGAGAAATCTCGCGTAATCCCCCAAATCGGCACACGAACGGACTCGGAGCTTGGCGTGATCCCAACTATAAAACTGGAAGTCAGTCTGGAAAGTGCTTTAGCCTCAGGCTGCGACCCAGCCTCCCCGTTAGCGTGATCGCTCATTCCCGGGGTGCTGCTTTCATGTGGTCACAGGGAAGGGTTGCTGTGCATTTAACGCTGCCGCCGATCCGTGCCAAAGTTTTGTCGTGATTTAAAACGACCAAAGAGCTCTATCTCTTGTCAGCTGACACAAAGACTCTCCTACTTAATGCTAGGCAGAGTTGAAAAGTCCCACGGTGCCCTGCGTGCTATCTGAGGCTCAGAGCAAGGTGACCAGACGAGAGCGGGGTGCTCATTCGTGTTTTCCTTTCATCTACATTGTCCTGCTGCCACTGCACATGGACGCCGGCAGCAGATGTCACAAGGTAGAACGTATTCTCCAAAGACGGTTTTGACCCTCTTATTCTCCCCCCTGGGTTTTGCACAGATGTTAGGAGTTGCTACTCGATTTCACAAGCATTTTACCTAAATGCATGTTGGATACAGCATCTAAATGATGCTCTAGGTGTTTAACATCCTCTTAACCATAAACATCAAAGACTTTAAGAGCTTAAAATGAACTTCACCCAGTTTTGTTAGATAAAGTTAAAGTAATATTGCTAAAAAGGCTGCTCTGTCTCCAGTCAGGACAGCAGTGGGTGCTCTGGGACAGAAGGCACCGAGGCGTATAAAGTGAGAGCCTCCCCAGAGAAGCAGCCTGCCTCTTTTTTCCTCTGGAGGCACGTCTCCCAACAGGCTCAGCGCTGATTACAACAGAACAGAGAGACAGCACGTTGCAGCTGCAGCTGCACGGTTCAAGGCTATCTCTGAAGGAAGCCCTCTTTGAGGACTGGGCACAGATGTGAAGAACGCCTTCAATCGGATGATATTTTCTGTTCGAGTCTGATCAGAAAAAGGATAATAAAGACAACGAGGACGAGCAGAATGAAAAGCAAAATGAGCAAAAATGAAATGAAAGGCAAGACAGCATCAGCAGATGTTGATCAAAGTAGAAATAGACCTTTTAATTTCACCAAAGACAGCTTACTGTAATATATTTTCCTTTGAGTAAAGCAAGATTATCTCCAAAAGCTTAACTTAGTTTTCAGTACAAACAATTTTCTGCAGACAAGAGATGATTGTATAAGTTTTAAAGAAGAAAGCTTTAAAAAAATCTGCGAGTTTGTTAGCTTTAAGCTATTTTTTACAGTGTATAAGAGAAAAGGGTCATAAAAACTTCCGCTTTTTGGTTCTGCAAATAAAATGAACAGAAGAAGAAATTAACTCCTGTTGCGTAACATCCAACAGCAGTACCTGATGTATTCACAGAGGTTTTTTTACATTAAATCAGGAGGTAAAGAAGCACAACTCTGCAAGTTGACAAAAAGTGCCGATTAGATTATTTATTTTTAAAGAATTATTACTATTTGGTTCAGAAATTATACATTTGCATACATTTCTGAGCACAATTGCTGCAAAACTGAATTAAAACATAAGAAAGCATTAAAATAAATTATTTAATCTAGTTTAATATTACATATAAACAATCTTGAATTTTACTTCAAATAATGCAGATAGTTGAGCATTTTATAGTTTTTAAAAGCAAACATTTGTAAGAGTTAAAATTTTACAAACAATATCCAAAGGAAATGAGATGAATTCTTTTTTTCAGTGTATGTTAGGATGTTTAAACAAAAATAAAGAGCTACAATGAGGTGAGATCTGCAGGTTAACAGTTGTTTAGACACAGATTAATGCCTGAAACGGACTCAGCCTCACCTGATGCAGAAGGAGAAGCAGCAAGAATGTTTGCAGGACTCTCATCTTCAAAGACTTCTCAGTTTATTCTCGATGAGCGGCGCTTTAATCCTCTCTGGGTGACTCGGAGAGGACGAGACGCGCATGCCGCTGAAACATCTCACAGATCACCTGGAAAATAAAGTTTCATCTGCTGAATGCATTAAAAGCTAAAGTCTCCAGTACTTGTTAGGATTTTTTCCTGCAGTGATAAAACTTTTCCCTTACTGGTAAAGGCAGCACGCTGGAGTCATGCCTCTTCAGTCGGACACGGAGTTGTTAAATCCTCTCCAAGTACGTCCTCCTCTCGGGAATGTTTGAGTTTCCTCTGAGAAGCTGGGACTAGAAATGAGACCTGGTGGAAACAAGCTCTCGTCTAAGTTTCAAATCCAACCGAAACAGAAACAAACAACGAATTTTCAGTTGTTTATTCGGGAGATCTAGCGGTGAGTTAAGGCGGCGCGCAGTAGAAATGCAGCCAAGTGAATCCGCGCATCCCAGAAACAAGACTGCAGTCAGACAGACAGCAGTGCGCTCCTCAGCGCTGCTGGAGCTCAGTGCGCAAAATCCTCCGCTGCGCGCCTGGAGACTCCAAGAGCGGCGCGCATCCGTTTGGAGAGTCAGGACCAGCCGATCTAACCGTGTAGTCTCACTCTCTCTGTTTAAAATTTAAGATGCTTGGTGTCACACTTTCTACGAAACAAGCTTTAACCCTTTAGTTACACCTAAAGATTTAAGCAATATTTGTCTCTTAATGCCTGAAGCATCGAACATGTGGCTCGACTGTGGTCACTGAGATGAGCAAGCTCTTCAGAAAGTTCTAAAAGAACTTTGACTCTCATTTATGCAACAATAAGCTCATTTTAATATTTGTTTTACCATTTTTTTTCAAAACACAAAATAAAGAGTGACGCTTTGGCGTTTGGAAGAAGAACCCGAGGAGGAAAAGACAGCAAAAGGTCAAACTTTATCCAAATGTCAGACTTCTTTTCACAATGGAGCTCACGATTCTGAAGCGATCTTTGTGACTTTAGCTCCACCACGTGGTTAGTGTTGAGAGTTACGTGCTGAGAAAGCTACAGCTTTTCCACTGCCAAACTAACCCATTTCTACCAATTATTTCTAAAAATGAACTAATAAGGTCAAAAAAGGGCAACATTTTGATTAACTGATTTATTGTTTTTGTTCAAAATCTGGACGGGGAAGGGGAACTAATAGAAGCATCCACACAATTCTGCCACTACTCTCTTGTGTGGGTAGTTATGAATCCAATTCAGTGTCAAAATATATTCCATATCTAAATGTCCATGATGACATCATTGCTAAAATCATTTTGTGTGTTACTACTAGAGGTGGATAGGTCATTGACTTCACATTTTATGGGTTCATGTTTGTAAGGAGATCTGGAGAAAAGTGATCTTTTTATCTTGAAACCTGCAGCTCTGGAGCCACAAGTGGCTCTTTAGATCTTCTGCAAAGGCTCTTAATAATCTCGGCTACAAATTATAAAATAACATACAGTTTTTATATAAATATAATCAAATGCAAGCTCAAGCTTTTTGTTTTTTCATGGAATAATTTCATTGAGTTTAGTCTACAGATTGACATTAAAATAACCCGCATTTTTGAATTTATTAGTTTTTTAAAACAATTTCAGACAAACATAGACATCCAAAAAAGAGCAATAAATCCATACTTATATTGGCAGAAATTACAAGTTTTACAATTACAACACATCTCTTATAATAGATATTTACAAAAAAGGAGTTTCAGAATTTTCTCATTTTTCTTAGAAATCTGAGAAAATAAAGAGAATTTTTTTGCAGCCCTAATTCTCATCCTTATATATATATATATATATATATATATATATATATATATATATATATATATATATATATATATATATATATATATATAAATAAATAAATATATATATATATATATATATATATATATATATATATATATATATATATTTATATATATGTATAAAACAAAGCTGCGCTCAAGGCTCACACAAGAACTTGAATCACATCCTGAAGTCTGCTGCGACTCAGGATGTGACTTCTGATATTGATGTGCTGGTGAAAGCTAAAAGATGTTTGGTAAAATGAGTCAAATATACTTTACATGCTGCATGAAACTGATCTAGCCATGTGACCTGTAAGCTCTTTGAATCACTAAGGAATGTTTTATTTATTGATTGATTTTTTAGTTTTTTCAAATTTTCAAGTACACTTCAGGTGTTGTACTATTTTGGATACACTGTCCTCCGGCTCCAGCTTTGTTTGATTGTATTAAAACAAAGAAAACAATCTGAATTTGTTTTTAATTTACCGGTCCGGCTCACTTGGGACTAGATTTCCCTCAGTGTGGCCCCTGAGCTAAAATGAGTTTGACACCCCTGCTGTAGACCATAACATCTTACTTAGCAGGCTCAAACATCTAGAACTTTCTCAGGCATCCGTGTCATGGTTCAGAAGTTATATCTTCGACTGTAAGCAGACTGTGAGAACAGAGGGTTACCAATCTGCTCCTCTACCCCTGTCTATGGGCGTTCATCAAGGGTCGATACTGGGCCCAGCCTTATTCAACATCTATATTATTAATATTGTTCATGCTGTTGACAGTTCTCATATACATTTATATGTAGAGGACACCATTTTATATTCATGCAGTTCTTCCTTGAATGCAGCTTTGTCCTCCTTGCAGCACAACTTTAATCATCTTCAACAGACCTTCTCAAACCATCATCTTCATTTAAACACACGTGAACTTCAACCGTAACTTACCGCAGCCCTGGCACTGTTTCCCTGGAGGGTGCAGAACTACAAGTTCCTATAAGTATCTGGCTTGACGGCACACTTTCATTTGACATTCACATTAATTCATCACTTTCGAAAGTCAACTCAAGAATTGGGTTTCTATAGCAACAGGTCATCCTTAACTCATTCTGCAAAGCAAACCTTGGCCAAAATGACAATCCTTCACGTCTTAGACTACGGTGACATCATTTACATTATTGGGGGCAGCAGTAGCTCATCAGGTTGAGCGGGTTGTCCAGTAATCGTAAGGTTGCAGGTTTGATTCCGGCTCTGGACAGAGACTTCTGCTGTTGTGTCCTTGGGCAAGACACTTAACCCACGTTGCCTGCTGGTGGTGGTCGGAGGGACCGGTGGTGCCTGTGCTCGGCAGCCTCGCCTCTGTCAGTGCGCCCCAGGGCAGCTGTGGCTACATCGTAGCTCATCACCATCAGTGTGTGAATGTGTGTGTGAATGGATGAATGATACACTGTAGTGTAAAGCGCTTTGGAGTCCTTACTCTGAGAGGTGCTACACAAGTGCGGATCATTTATCATTTATAGGACTGCTTCAAAGAACTTCGTCATAACCTAGCTGTCATTTATCACTCAGCAATGTGTTTGGTCATTGGTGCCCCTTTCACTACTCATCATTGTGATCTGTGCTCACTCGTTAACTGGCCATCACTCCATTCCTGCAGGTTGTTACATTAAATCAATTATACCGTAATTTCCGGACTATAGAGTGCACCTCAATATAAGCCGCACCAACAAAAAAAAAAGCTTTTCTACACATATGCCGCACTCGAATACAAGCCGGATTTTAAACAGGTGTGAACGTGCCTGCAAGTTTAGAAAAGAAAACAGCACTGATAGCATTCATATTTCTGGATGATTAGAAAATAAAAACTGCACACAAAACATGCCTGGTTAGTAAATAAAACACACTTGCCTACCAGAAGAAGTCATTCGCTCTCATCTTCCTCTTGCGCACTAAAGCCATTAAAGTCCTCTTCTTCAGTGTCGGAGTTGAACAGCCTCAGAAGAGCTTCGTCACATACCTTTTCTGTGGCGATGTCAGTGTCGCTGTCCGTGTTGCTGTCATCATCCCCGGGTGAAGCTGACTTGAATGAGTTCTTCCCGCTGCCGTCTCCAGCGCCGAACCATGGATTCATTCATGCCAAGCTTACGTGCGGCAGTGCTGTTTCCCTCCTTTACTGCCAGATCGATGGCCTTCAACTTAAATGCGGCATCATAAGAACTCATACGTGTAGTTACCATGATGAGGGGGTATGGATTTGAAAAAAATTCTTCGTCATGCCGGCTGCTTGCATGTGCTAAATTAAAATGAGCACTTTCTTCCATTTCCACTTTTGACTTCCACCTGTTTCACGTTCTGCTAAAACGCCCCCTAGTGGCAGGTGAAGGAAAATCTTCAGTAAAGCCGCACCTCATTATAAGCCGCATGGTTCAAAGCGTGGGAAAAAAGTAGCGGCTTATAGTCCGGAAATTACAGTATACAAAACAATCATCGGTGGAACACCGTCATATCTTCGCTCATTATTCATCACTTCCAACAACCAGAGCAATTTACGTTCCAGTAACTTAATCTCTGTGGTTACTCCCAAAGCTCGCACCTCCTTTGGCCGCTCCTCATTCCAGTTTGCTGCTTCCAACGACTGGAATGAGAACGAGCTGCTAAAATCACTAAAGCTCACTACCTACCTTCCAATAATTTATTGCAATCAGTAGTTTCTGATCAATGTGCCTGCTTCACTTAAAGATGGTTTTAAGTCTGTTTTGATTGCTTGTACATATTGTAAATGAGAACAGTCGGTTATATCTTATCTTGCTTTTTTTAAAATCTTACCTGTTTTTCTTTGGTGTAAAGCTAATTATGTGTCTGTTGCCACTCTTCTTGGCCAGAGCAGCGTTGTAAATGAGAATAAGTTGTCAATCAACTCATCTGGTTAAATAAATAAACACATTTTGGTGAACTGAGGGGGAAAATGGCTGCAGACCCCTTTCCTCAATTATCAAGTGTGTCCAAAATAAACTTTAGTTACTCGAACCTGCAATTAACCCCAGATGAACCTGATTAAATATACACTTTGCACTAACTTGTGCTAATGTGTGGCTTAAATGACATAAAACTGAAGTTTGGTACATTATGTGCACAGATTTGATGGCTCTAAAGGCCAGTCTAAGATAAAAATGTACTTTTCCCACATTTTTCTACTTTTCAATTCAATTTTTAAAAATGTTTTCACAGTTTTCATAATTAGTGGACAAAACCTTTTCACGGTAAGTCACTGTGTCTGTTTTATTTTAAAGTTGTGCTTAAAATTTAATTGGCTTGAACTCTAAACAGGGAACCGCTTCATGAAAGCTTGATTCAGCCAACAGGCAGCAAAGGTTAAATGAATTTATACTACCCTTGATAAGAGTTTATCACTGATTATTACAGACATCCACAAACCAGCAGGAGTCAGAAGCAGTTGGTCAGAGTAGACAAGCCTTTAGATAAAACAATCAGCACACTCACAGAACCACTGATAAATGGTTATCTTTGAAAATCTGACATCATCAGCACGAGCTTTTGTTCTTACCTGGGAGAAACTAATAAAAATAATAATCACATGCATTCATCTCTTGTTTATTCTTAGTAAACTCATCTTTTGTAGCTTTGGCGCTCCCATCTGGTTTGATGATGCACAAATCACTATGATCAGCATGGCATTGCGATAATTGAACACGTTCACCTCCTTTTTTATTTGTTCATCGACATAATCAGATTGCTGGGTTTCAGATGATGACTGGTATGTCTCACATGTTTTATTGTCTGTAATGAATGCATCACAAATTTTAAATACGAGCCTGTGTTGACGCAAACAAACAAATAAACCAACACATTTAACACCCAATCAGCACTAATAAATGAATTTAAACTGATGCAAATGTGCATTTTTCTGTAAAAGCTCATCGGTCATGGTTGGCATAGTTAGTGGGAGTGATTTTATTTGATTTGGGGTTTTATTCTATATTTTAGTGTTGCACAACAAAGAATGGAGTTCAGCTCAATACTTATTTTTGTATTTCTGACCAGTCTTGTTTTGTTTAATCAAACTGATGTCATTCCACATGCACATCTAATGTAATTGGCAGGTTGTTATCTGGGTTCAGAGGTCTAGACAGTCTAGATTATTGATGGGATGAGAGTCTTGAATGCATTTGAGAGGCCATGACAATCATTGGGCCCTTTTTTTAAAATATGGTTTGTGACAAAAAATCAAGACCTTGCACACCGATCGAACAGTCTTTATTGATGCTTCATAATTATTTTGCTCAGGATGTTGCGTGTGTGCCTTCATGATCTCACCTGTATATTTTTGATGTATTCTGGCATCTTTGACAAAAGGGAATGGCTAACAGCACAACCAAGAAAAAAGGCAGCGACTCCCAAGTCCCAGAGGTTACTGAAAGTCTTCTGTTAGCTGAAGAGGCTCCAGAAAATTCCAGGAGCTTGTGAAATCCAGTGCTTTTGCTAGAACATGTGCATATCTCCATTTCATCAGACGGGCCATTTTCAGGAACCAACGGAGTCCTCGAACAGGGGCAGGGACATGAATGGCCCGGTGGAGTTGCTGAGCGCCACTTTTGTTCAACTCATGCTGATTGGTTGTAACTCAGTAGGAAATCAGCAGATGGCATCCAGAACAACAGGCAATAGTAAAATTAGAAGCACTGCTTCTAAAGCAGAATGGAAGCAAAAGAAAATATGCACAGATCCCACTGCTTTAATACGGCCATCACCAAACTCCTAATGACTGAATAACACGGCGGAACCCCCCCCCACAACTAAGTAATTCACAGGTTTTTGTTAACTCACATGGTGCTGAAAAAACTTACCTTCTTCTGGTCATTGAATGCCACATTTTACATCAACCAGCAGCTCTTTTGCTCCTCCGTATGTATTAAATGATGCTGTACTTTGACAGAAGGAAACCTTGAATAATATTGTTACTGTAAATGCATTTTGGAGCTGATCAATGACATCCCCATCATCAAATTTAGACTAAAAAGGTGTCTAAAACTTTTGTTAAATGTGTTGGACGCATAGTGTTTTAATATAAATGCAATCCACAGCTAGAGCCTAAACCCTGCCGACGTTACCACAAGGACCAATAATGTTGTGCCACACCAAAGTTTTCTCTGGCCCCCAAGAGAATTTCCTCTGAGCGCCACTGCTGAAGTCTGTGTGGATTGCAACGATAAACTGCTGTCCTCCGGCCAGGCAGCAAAAAGTATTTAGCCCTCAAATTTCAAGGTCAAATTTGACTCAAACGTCATCGTACCTCTTGTTTTTTTCTGAAGGGGATCTTGACATTTTTACAGCCACAGTTGCTTAACTCACTGCAATTAGTTTGACGAGTAAAAATTCCTGTCGTAACTAAGCTGCGTTAGATACTATCAGCTTCCTCAAAACAGAAGGGGGTTGGTTTCCTCTTACAAACAGCTTCGCACGCCACCACTCTCGCTGCAAGCGTTAGATGTACCTGTGTGCGTGAGACCAAAGACAGCCACTGATTAAGCAGCGCTTACACGGCACGCACGCACGTCTGCTTTCCAGGGAGGAGGAGACGCGGAACAGCCAGAGTAAACAAAGGCAGCGTTGCTCAAAGGGGCAGTCAGTACATGCAATACGACACCAACTTGGAATTTCTTGGGGGACCTCCTTAAAAAGAGAAAAGAATAGACCTAAAGACAACTTTACTTGTAATCAATGTTCTTTGAGAGACATGATAAGACCTAACCATGTCATGTAAACCAGTGATTAACTGGACAGAGCCCCTGATTCCTAGGACTTCCCCCACAACGCTCTGGGAACTTCCGCAGTCTCCCTGGGGTTATATAACAGCTTGACTCAAAATGCTGCCTGCACTTCCTGCACCATTGCAACACAAACACACTCGCTGACTCCCACACAGGCTCACACATAAGTGCCACCCCTTAACAACAGGCACCAGTAGCACACACCAAAGCCAGCTTGCAGCACAGAGAGAAGGCAATGGGAAGCAGGGTGTGGTTTCCTACAGCGGGACTGCTGGTCTGGCTGTGCTGCCTCAGTCTCGGGACCGTTCACGGAGGGAAGGTGCTGGTTATGCCTGTGGATGGAAGTCATTGGCTCAGCATGAAGATCCTGGTGAAGGAACTCAGCCGCAGGGGCCACGAGGTCACGGTTCTGGTTCCTGAGAGCAGGTTGCTGATTCAAGGCTCAGACAGCTACAAGACCAAGATTTATCAAGTGCCGTACACTCAGGCTGAACTGGATTCACAGTTCGAATCGCTCAGAGAGAGACTCTTTGATACACCTCCACATTTCACAGATTTCTTTGTGAACGTGGACCGCTTGGTCGCCTTTACCTCCGTCCAGGCGTTGGGCTGCAAGGCTCTGCTGAACAACGAGCCTTTAATAAGCCAACTAAGAGTGGAAGGCTTTGAGATGGTCCTCACCGATCCCTTCCTTCCATGCGGCTCCATCCTGGCAAAGATCTTCTCCGTCCCAGCTGTTTATTTCCTGCGCGGGCTTCCATGTGGGCTGGATACCCAAGCCAGCCAGTGCCCTTCACCTGCATCTTACGTCCCTGTGTCTTTTTCCGGTAACACCAACAACATGACGTTTCTACAGAGAGTGACAAACATAATGATGTCTTATGTGGAATCCTACCTGTGCGGCATCATGTATAAGCACTTTGATGATCTCACCAGCATGCAGTTTGGAAACGGCATGACTTACAAAGAGCTCATCAGCCATGGGGCTATTTGGCTGCTCAGATATGACTTCACATTCGAATGGCCCAAACCTGTCATGCCAAACCAGGTTTTTATCGGAGGGATCAACTGTGCAAAGAAAGCTCCTCTGCCAGCCGTGAGTATAAATGCATCATCACTGGACTAAATAAACATGCATCTTATTTAGATTGGCTCAAAGCTAATCCGGTCTGGTCGATCTGATCGATCAGAAGAAAGTGTGAAATGTTTTCACACTTCATTAATGCAGAAGAAATCTCAGCAAAATGCTTTTTACTTGGTAAAATGTTAAAATTATTTGTGATTTAGTTAAGTTTAAATGCGTGAACAATATTTTTAGTGTTTGCAAAATGCTTTCTGTGATTTAAAGCACAAAAAAAAATCTAACTCAGATTTTATCCTGCAGGACAGGAAAAATAAGATTTATCTAACCACTGAAGGCATTCTGTGCATCGGTTAGGAAGTTTATTTAGGTTTTGCATTATGATGTGGTGAAACTCATCTGTCTGTTCTTGTGGTGAATTGTGTTGGAGCAATGCAATCCTGATTTCTGGACTACCGCCGGCCTACCAGCAGAAGGGCTGAGGGGCCCTGTTATGTCAACAGGGATCCAGTAATTCACAGAAACAATGGGTTTTTTGACATAAGCACAGAGGCCGTTACGCTTCCAAAATCAAATAATTGGGAAGCCGTTAGTTTCATTCAGTGCTAATGAGGCAGTATTTCTTTTAGTTTATATAAGAAGTCATGATGCGATGGCTGCAGAGGAAAAAAGGGTTTTCAGCATAAAAACTGAGATTTTGTCCCATTTATGTCTTTTTTCCCTGCAGGACTTGCAGGAGTTTGCGGATGGCTCAGGAGATGATGGTTTTATCGTCTTTACACTGGGATCACTGGTGGCCTCTATGCCCGAAGAAAAGGCTAAGCAGTTCTTCGACGCCTTTCGGCAAATTCCCCAGAGGGTAAAATTTCAAACAGACTTTTATTTCACATGATTTTTCTTCTTTAACGACTCAGGAAAAGAGAAACATTAATGAACTGGTGAATATACTCACTCAGTACATATGCTAAAGGTTAACTTATGTCCTGGACTTTGAGCTCAGCTTTGCCATAAACTCACCCGCTTGTTCGTCGACTGCAAAATGAGGCGGTGTGATTTGTGTTGCAGGTTGTGTGGAGATACACCGGCCCGCTTCCTAAAGATGTGCCCAAGAATGTCCGAGTTATGAAATGGCTCCCTCAGAATGATCTTCTTGGTGTGTTTTTTGGCGTTTCTAATAAAATGTTCATGCTTTTCAACTTTTTGGTGGACCAACACTAAGCCTGTTCTTTGTTCTCCTCAGCCCATCCCAAAGCTAAAGTCTTCATGACTCATGGAGGAACCCATGGCATATACGAAGGCATCTGCAACGGCGTGCCTATGTTGATGTTTCCTCTTTTCGGGGACCAGGGAGACAACGTGCATCGGATGGTGGCTCGCGGTGTTGCAGAGAAGATCAGTGCCTTTGAAGTGACAACAGAAACAGTCGTAGCTGCACTGAAAAAAATGATCCAGGACAAAAGGTGAAAGTCCTTTGGATGACCTCCGTATAGAGAAATGCAGATTAAACACAAAAGGAGAGAACATCATAAATCCTTCATAACAAACCATGTTTTCTCCTCAGCTACAAGGAGCGGATGGAGGCGCTGTCCCAGATCCACCTGGACCGCCCCATTGGGCCTCTGGACCTGGCCGTCTTCTGGTCCGAGTTTGTAATGAGACACAAGGGAGCGCCGCACCTGAGAGTGGCAGCACATGACTTGAACTGGTTTCAGTACCACAGCCTGGACGTCATCGGCTTTTTAGTCGCCGTTGTTCTGGTCGTTTTATGGGTGACCCTGAAGTCCTGCGCCTTTATTTTCCACAAGTGTTGCGGGAAAAGAATTGTAAAGAAAAAATCTGAATAGTGTTTACCACTAAGTAGATCATCTGAACACCACTGTGAATTTTAAATCTGGCGTATTGTGTGTGTGTGTGTGTGTGTGTGTGTGTGTGTGTGTGTGTGTGTGTGTGTGTGTGTGTGTGTGTGTATGCTCAGGTGTCTGTGTGTATCGATTTCTACGTTGTGCCACAACAGCTGTATAATAATGATCTTGGTAAGGATCCTTTAAAAGATCCCAGATTTAATTAAATGACTTCAAAAACAGTTATGGATTATTATTTATTAATAAATTCTGGTGAAACTTACATTTTTTAATGTTGTCAGAGGAAACAGATGTTGCCGGGACATCAAAGTTAACGAGAACCTAAATGAATGATTTATGGAACCCCTCTGTTGTCAGAACTGACATAAAAGTCTGACTCGTATATTAAAAGTAAACATTTATGTTTGATATGTCAACACCATCTCTTCATGGATGTAAATTCAAAGTGTCGGAGTACCCGGCCCGGAGGGTTACCGGGGTTCCACCCTGGAGCCAGGCCTGGGGCTGGGGCCCGTGAGCGAGCACCTGGTGGCCGGGCTTTCGCCCATGGGGCCCGGCTGGGCCTAGCCCGAACCGGATACATGGGCCCCAACTGTGGACTCACCACCCGCAGGAGGAACATGAAGGGTCCGGTGCAGTGTGGATCGGGTGGCAGACCGAGGCGGGAGCCTTGGCGGTCCGATCCGCAGACAAGAAAACTGGTTTTTGTGACATGGAACGTCACCTCGCTGGCGGGGAAGGAGCAGGAGCTTGTGGCAGCAAGATTCAGGAAGCCTACAACATGCTGAAGAAACAAGGTGAGGGATAACAGTAATCATGATTTTTTTATTTTTTCTGCAGGATTTTGCCAACCTGAGAAATGCCACAGATAACATTAAAAATTAATGTTATGTTTGGAAAAACTTGAAGAAAATGGGGTTAGGCTTTGAATTCAATTAAAGATGAAAAAATAAAATAAAATTCAGCTGATGTTAATTTCAGCATTTTGACTGTATTAAAAGCAGTGGGACCGACGGGAATTCCGGCCCTGCTTATTTCTGCTTATGTGGACGAACAAAGGAATGGTTTTGAGAAGAGACGAAACTGAGAATAATTAACCTAGAGTAACTGCCAGTCTGTGCACCAAAGACACGGCTGTGCATCTCCTAAGTTTGGAGCCTAAGTGCTTACTTCTGTGTCCAGATCGATACTGGCGTGTGAGGGCCTGTGTTGCCCAGGACCCTCGGGGGGCGGTATACAGAAACCCCTCCCCTCTGAAACCCAGTAGGGGTCAGGCTGCATTCTGGTGGTTGAACATGAGCACTGCATGTGTGTAAATGTGCTGGGTTTCATTTGTGAAGAAATAAGTCTCAATAATAAGCACTTGTTTGTTTATTTGAGATGTGCATGTAAGATAAATAACTCTTTATCATATTAATCTTCTTTTGCTCTCGCTCTCTGTTTGAAATCAGTTAATCTTTAATTTAGGAAGGGCAATTTTAGAGAGAAAACAAGTTATTCCATTTTTTTTCTTTCCCTCTCTATAAATATTCTAACCACGTGTAAATAAACTCAAACCTTTGGCCTAACTATTAGAAGTGGTTAATAATTTTAAATTTACCATTAATTCTAACCACGGGAAAAGGAAGGGAAGTTTTTCGACTTTCAACCAAACTGGTAAACATGGCAGGAAAATCTGAGGTCGTGGAGTCCGGTTCTTTCGAGGAGCTTGATGCAGTCCTTCAGGAGCTGACACAGAACCACATTCCAGAATATTCTGATGAAGTCCAGCAAATGGACTCCGAGAAATTGCAATCTGCTATGACGGATCTAATCGACACAGGGATGAATCAGACAGCCGGGGACAAATCAGCTGTGAAAACCATCAGCAGCTTAGCCGCCGTGCTCTCTAGAAGATTCCAATTAGCCCATAAGCTAATCGGTCAGGCTTCGGAACAATTAACAAAAAAATCTCAAAAGATGGATCAACTTTGTGAGGAGACAGCTTGGTACAAACGACACCTTGCAGAGGTTCAGGAAGAGCTTAAAATTGCCACGAGCGATTTAGCCAAAACCTCTACTCAACTTTATGACGTTAGTAAAGAAAAAGAGAGAAATGAATCACTCATGACCGAACTTGTGACAGAGAAACAGGCCATCCAGGCTCGAAATGAAACCCATGTAAAAACACTAGAGGCGCAACACAATACAATTCAGGATTTACAATCCCAGCTTCGTGAATCAGAGGAAAAAAAGCGCTTAAATGAAAGGTTCCGATATCCCATATCTCAGTTTATCTCACCCGAAGTCAAACGTTTTGTAGATTTCCCAGCACCTACCGGAGGTGCTGCTGCACGACAGAAGGAAGAGAGTGGTCCTGCTAGGGTAAGGGAAGAATTAACAGGCACTTTCAACATATTCTCCACCACGAGGATTGCCTCCTTTCTTGAACAGCAGGTCACGTGAGCACCTAAACCTAGACGGACCCAGAAATAAAGATTTAGATCAAATGGCAAGAAACATTACCCGATTTGAACCTAGCCCAGGAGTTCCTTGTCATGTAGAATCTTACTTGAAGGACATCCAGTTTTGTTTGAGAAAATACCCATACGCAACAGTAGATGACAAAATCTACCTCATCAAGATGACCTCGAGTCGGGAGGTAAGTAGATTCGTTGAGCGACAGCCTGAGACCATCAAAGAGACTACGAGCGTTTGTCCCAGGTAATAACCAGAGAGTTCTCCGGTTTTGTCTCCCAAACGGGATTGCCCTTAGCTCTAAACGTCAAACAGGCCAAGAATGAGCATCCCCAAGAATATTATTAGGGATGAGCGAGTACACCACTATCTGTATCTGTATCTGTTCAACCAACTAAATTATCTGTATCTGTATCTGTACTCGGAATGGGCGTGGCACAACCCGGAAGTGGGCGTGGTTTAACCGGATGTGGGTGTGGTTTACATCATACATTATTTTAAGTCTGAAATTGATATGGATTGATCAGAAGTTGATATGTGTGTGGTTTATTTGAAAACTATTTACAGAGCAGCCTCAGAATTGACATTAAATATTTTTGATAACAATAGTAAAGGAACTATTTCAGAACAAGTTTTTCAATAAAATCAGAACATTAATATTTAAGTGCATGGATTAATGCATCTGAACTCATGCAGTAGGAACTAGGAAATATGAAATGCTAGAACCAGACACAACTTTATATATATATATATATATATATATATATATATATATATATATATATATTAGGGCCTGCACGACTTTATTTTTTTTAAAGTCGACAGTCAAGTAATGAAAGTCGAGTCGACTTCGACTAGTCGTTGATGACGTCATACGCCGGAAGCGGCGGCGGGGGGAGGGGGGGGGGGGGTTCGGTCGGTAGGTTCGCTGGAGTTTTTGACAATTAAAATTGCGCCCACATTTGCTAAGTTAACACATCTCTTTTAACAACGGTAGTTTCTGCATCCTACTTCAGTCCTCTCCCCCCTCCCCCTGCGCAGCAGCAGCAAACTCACTGTTGCACCTGCACCCTTTCCTGCTGCTCTAAACATTAAAATAATTATTTCATTTTCTGTTCCTCACTTCTGATTACCTTCAGTGGTGTCTGTTTGTTGCAACCACCAGGTACAAAAACAAACTTGTTTTTATTTGACTATTTTTCTGTCCTGTATCTGTTTATTATCTTCCTGCATCTCCTCTCAGTCTAAAGAAAAACTGCTACCTGGGTTCATATGTATTTACCTTGTGAGTTACCTTTGAACTGCAGTTCTAAAAGATCTACCGACCGCAAAAACAGCGGAGTGCCACTGCTCGCCGGCCGACTATAACGGGACTGTTTTTGCTGCGGAGTTCATGCCGGAGCGGAGTGGAGATAGTGGAATCTTGGGGGTGCGTCACCGGAGGACAACAGGTGATGCACCTCGCTCCGCAGCAGCGAAACGCATCAGGCACAAATAACAGACAGAAAACATGAAAGGAAATGAGCTGACATGAACGATCGCGTGTCACCTGATTTGGCGGTGCTCAGGACGCAATGTCTGGAGCGCACGTCAATGATCAGAGCTTTGCATGTGCAAACTGGTTAAGATTAGGATGGGGGTGAGGGGAAGGTTAAATTGCAAGAGGGAAAAGGTCACAGTTTGGTTAAATGTCCGTTTTACCGCCAGTGTCAGTACCGCACAGCGCGTCGCCTCCGCCTCGATCCAGACGCGCAGGGGCTCATCACCTGCTGTCTTTTCCGAGGGCTGCATCTTGTCGGTCATTATCACGTGACAGCGACTAGTTGATGACAGGCATAAAAAGTCACTACAGAGCCGTGAAGTCGACTAGTCGACTATTTCGTACAACCCCTAATATATATATATATATATATATATATATATATATATATATATATATATATATATATATATATATATATATATATATAATGTCCTTGTTAGGGGGAGAAATATTGGTTTTATGTAGTGTAATTGGTTTGCTGGAATTTAAGTTTTTTGCAAAAGGTTTTTCTGGTTTTAAGTTTTGCTGGTGGAAACTTGGATCATTGCATTTCTTAGCCTCTTTACATATGAATTCACAGAAGTACTCAAAGGGTGGGAAACAGCCTTGGTTGTTCTCTTTATATTGAGAGCCATGTGACATCCACCTCTCCTGAAGTCCATATGGGGGTTTGTCTATACGATTGGGCTTATTCCACAAGACGTGTCCAGATAGAGTAGACCAGGGAGATGGCCGTCTTCCTTGGCGCCTTGAATCTCTTGCAGTAAATCCCCTAGTTCACGTAGCTTGACATGATCTTTGGCTGTTAATTTTGGGAAACTGTCCAACCGTTGGAAAAGTGACCTTTCGATTATTTCTGATGCTGCATAACATTCATTCAGTCTTTCCCATGCTTTGTATAGAGCTACTGTGGGGTTGTTGACATATACTGAACGTATGCGTTTCACCTGATCACTTGACTCCCTCCCTAACCACTTCGTCATGAGATCTAGCCATGTATTGGGCAAAGGGCTCTGCTGGATTTAAAATGCTGGCCGTGGTGTTACAGTCATGCTGAGGTATAAATGGTGAGCCGCATGGGTTGAGAGAGGTATTTTGTTTCTCCACTTTAGGTTTTGTGTCACCTTTCAGCTGGCTGGGGTTATTTAGAGCAGTGATATTAGCTTTGGTAAGCCTTAATTCAGAGTTGATGGGTTGTGGCTCTAAATTGTCTTCTTCAGATGGATGCCACGTCGTGGACTGGGAGATAGCTTGGTGTCCATTTGAGATCGTACATATTCATTCATATGTTCTAATTTTACACTTTCTGATGGAGATTTTCTACTCTCAGTTTCTTCTTGTATTGCTTCAGCTTCCTCTAGCACTTCTGCTTCAGCTAGAGCAGCATCAGCTTCTCTCTGTAATGTTAACACTTCTAATTCCGCATCTATTTTTGCCTTTTCCAGTTCACTTTGAGCTTTTTCAACTTTTAACTGTGCTTCTTTTGTTGCATAGCATGCTCTCACCTTTGCAGCCTCCGCTTTAGCTCGAGCATGAGCAGCGCTTACTGCTGATCCAGATGAGCGGCTCGTCCTCAAACTGTGTGCAGACTTGTTACTCGATACCATTTTGACCGTGATGAATTATCAGCAGTGGTGGCTGGCCACTAGAGGGCGATAGGGCACCGCCCCCCCAGTTTTCCCCAGTGTTTTTAATTTTTATTTAAAAAAAAAATAAATAAAATTAACAATAATCACATATTCTAAGTTAATTGTGTGTTTTGTAACATAAACAAATCATACCTATATCATTGGTGAGAAGCTCCCTGCCGAGCGGTGGAGGCGACAGAAAGTTCCAGTTTTAAATTACTAAAAATGTTCTTGTGTATCAGAATCCCCAAATGCTCAGCTTGACTAGGGAAATGTGTCCCTCTAGTGCTCAAATTGAGCAAACGTCTTAGTTAATGTGAAAGCAGTCAGTAATCTCAGGTCATCTGTCTGTAGCAGTGATTACATTCTGCAAGAACAATACAGCTGTGACATTTTCTGCCATCACTGCAATCACCACACATGGGGAACAGAGGACATGATTCCTGGATGAGAAAGAGTCCAGGAGGGACCAGACAGCCAGGCTGACGGGACGAAGCCTCTTGGACAGGCGGAGCTGACTCGACTGGAGGCAGAGCCGCTGCAGGCGGAGCCTCTTGGACAGGCTGGATGTGGTGCGACCTCCGGGACCACTGCTGGAACAGGATGCGGTGCGCCTTCTGGGACCACCACCGGTACTGGACGTGGAGCGTCCTCTGGGACCACCACCGGAACTGGACGTTTAGCGTCCTCTGGGACCACCACCGGAACTGGATGTGGAGTGCTGGAGGGTTCTGGGGAAGGTGTCCATCCCTCACAGCAGGTCAGACCCTCTGCGGTGACATCCTTAAGAGCCGACCCATAAACACTCCGAACATAAAGGTAATAATTACCAAGGGCTGGAACCGTTATCAATTCCGGTTGGGTGGAAAAGAGGGTATTTGACTTTTCAGCCGTCCGCAGTCCAAACGGAGGCCGCAAACTCCCTGATGCGCCTGCAGCCTCTCAGAGTTCCTGCTGCTCTAAACACTGAAATAATCATTTCATTTTCTGTTCCTCACTTCTGATTACCTTCAGTGGTGTCTGTTTGTTTCAACCACCAGGTACAAAAAGGAACTTGTTTTATTTGACTGTTTTTCTGTCCTGTCTCTGTTTTTTTTATCTTCCTGCATCTCCTCTCAATCCTAACGAAAAACTGCTACCTGGCTTCATATATTTTCACCTCATGAGTTACCTTTGAACTGCAGTTCAAGAAGATCTACCGACCGCAAATATAGCGGAGTGCGCGCTGACCGCACTGGTGCGGTCACCGGAGGACGAAACAGGTGATGCTCTCTGCACCGCAACAGCGAAACCCATCAGGCACATATAAAAGACAGAAAGCATAAAAGGATATGAGCCGACATGAACGATTGCATGTTAAGTTTCTTTTTGAGGTGGCGACACTTTGATAATGTTACTGTGGCCGTGCTCAGGACGCATCTGTCAGGAGCGTGTCAACGATCAGAGCTCTGCGCCTGTCAGCTCTAAATAATCCCTGGAGAGTCCACAGAGATAATATCAGTAAAACCTGGATCGTTTCGGGCTCCCACTGGGTGTGTTGACGGCTTCAAGGAGCTCCATAGCTCACCCGTAATTCGAATCCTGCGTATAGCACAAGTTTGTCGCGTGAGTTACCGGATTCCTAGAAGACAGTTGCCGGATTGGTTGTTTCAAAATACGATAGTTCCCGCATCTTGTTCCAGCAAGATCCGGCTCAAATGGAGCACTGATTGGTGAACATTAAGCATGTTTTCGGAAGGACTTTGTTACTGTGAATTAAGCGCGGACCCGTTACTGGATTGAGGTTGAGTTTCAATTTACAGCTGATGACATCCACAGACAACATCCCCTACACTTTTGAAACGCTTGCAATGCGCCTGTAAGTAAAGACTAGTATAAGTAAAGACTAGTATACGTTAAACTAATATGAGTAAAGACTAGTATAAGTAAATACTAGTATAAGTAAAGACTAGTATACGTTAAACTAATATGAGTAAAGACTAGTATAAGTAAAGACTAGTATTAATATACTTTAAACTAATATGAGTAAAGACTAGTATAAGTAAAGACTAATATTAATATACTTTAAACTAATATGAGTAAAGACTAGTATAAGTAAAGACTAGTATACTTTAAACTAATATGAGTAAAGACTAGTATAAGTAAAGACTAGTATACTTTAAACTAATATGAGTAAAGACTAGTATAAGTAAAGACTAGTATACGTCAAACTAATATGAGTAAAGACTAGTATAAGTAAGGACTAATATACTTTAAACTAATATGAGTAAAGACTAGTATAAGTAAAGACTAGTATACGTTAAACTAATATGAGTAAAGACTAGTATAAGTAAGGACTAATATACTTTAAACTAATATGAGTAAAGACTAGTATACGTCAAACTAATATGAGTAAAGACTAGTATAAGTAAGGACTAATATACTTTAAACTAATATGAGTAAAGACTAGTATAAGTAAAGACTAGTATACGTCAAACTAATATGAGTAAAGACTAGTATAAGTAAAGACTAATATTAATATACGTTAAACTAATATGAGTAAAGACTAGTATAAGTAAGGACTAATATACTTTAAACTAATATGAGTAAAGACTAGTATAAGTAAAGACTAGTATACGTTAAACTAATATGAGTAAAGACTAGTATAAGTAAAGACTAGTATTAATATACTTTAAACTAATATGAGTAAAGACCATAGACTGTACATATACTGGACAATTCGATTCCATAGGCTTCAATAACACGTTATCTGTCCATAATGGGAGGTGTCCACCACCGCCATTTTGACCGTGTCACAGGTTCCGTCCAGCCCAGACAATTCCATAAAAGGGAAGAGAGGAGGCGCTGAGGGTGGGGCTGTAAGGCTGGGCTCGAGTGACGACACCCAGGCGAACTAGCTACGAGCTAACCTGAAGCTAACCCTGGCTAACCCAAAGCTAAAGCGGAGGTGGGAGCCGAGCTAACGGATGTAGCCACCTAGCTTCAACCCAACCGGAGCTAACTGGAACACCCATCGACCTGAACCTCACACGGAGTTTAGGTGGAGGTTTTCTGCGCCTGTTCGTGAGAAGTACCTGTATTAAAAAAGTTTTAAATCGGTAAGTTTATAATTTATTTCCGTAATGAATACATTTTGCTTTGAGCAAGTTTTCAGTAGTTTTTTTCGGCGCTATCACTCCTGAGTCGCACCAGCCATTAAATGTATCATGAATAAGAGAAAATATATTTAAGTCGTATTTTGGGGGGACATTTTATTATCTTTCTTACAAAATCTGAGACCAAGCGTTTCACATAGCAACACAAGCACCGGTAACCATAACAGAATGAACAACAGCCAGCAGAGGAGAGGATGGCGGTGTTTCAAACACTCCCGGCCGGCGAGGAGAGCTCATTCCTGGGCTGGAGCCGGCCCTCAGCACCCCGCCACAGGCTCTAACAGATGCTGGCGGTGTTTGAAACCCTCCCAGCGGGACAGGGGAACTCATTCTTGTGTGGGTCGGAGTCGGCCCGCAGCAGCGCGGTGTAGCCTACATATTTTGTTAAATAAGTAGCAGGACCTGCCAGAAAATGTAAAAAAGTGCGAGTTATAGTCCGGAAAATATTGCAGTTATTAGTATTCGAGCTAAATTAGCAGCGTAAATACATTTCATATATTTCCAAAATGTTACACTTGTTTGTATCTTGTACAGCCAACTAGTCTTTATTCTGGACTCAGTACAATTTATCAAAAGTAAAGAGACATTCTACAGATGAAGTAAGCACAAGATAACTTACTGGAAGACACGGGATTATCATGAGAACCAGAACAAGAGAGCCTGATAACAGTCATGTGAAAATAAGTTAAAAAGTATGTATGTATAATAGAAATAAAATATATTAGAATTAGTGTAACTCACTGTGATCCAAACAGTAAATCAGCCATAGCTGATTAGTAAATATGACATGAGGTCTGGGAGTTTTTAAGTTTCATTTTTATTTTTTTGTTAGATCTGTTTAAATGTCACCATGGCAGCCTGTGTGTCTCCAACATCAGCTATGCAAAGCAGCAAGTGTAAGTTCCACATACCTGTCTCACCACTTCATGTATGGTTTTGTACTTTAAACAATTATGACAAACCTGTTATTTTTTCTCCATAGCCATTTGGATCATTGGAGACAGCTACGTGAGGCGTGGTGCCCAGAGAGCTGCAGAGACAACCTTGGCCTCCCTGACGTCTGTGTCTCCTGGTTCGGTTGGGGTGGACCATCGACATACATACATGTGCCGACACTTTGCGCCCTGTTTTATAAAATGTAGTGTTAAAAATAAATGTTTTTGCTCAATTACTGGAATTTCTTTGGTTAAGACAAAAGTGAGGAATAATCATTTACAAGTTATTTGTACAACAGGCCCATTTTAAATCCCAACAGTTTCTTAGCAGCCAATAGAAATGTGTTCTTTACTAACTTTACTTGGTTTAAAAATCTTACTAAAATAGTGCCGTATTGCAAAACCCAATCATACTTGTTATGTATACATTAGTTTTGTAGATATTTTTTACAGATATATATTTGTGTGCAACAAATCCAAACTTAAATAATTTGTCATTCTTTATTGAAAAACAACAAAAGACAGTTATACAGAAAGTGTGGGAAAATGATAATGTGAAAGTATTGCTATTTAAATGTAATCCTATTTATCTTTAAAAAGAAAAACTCTAAAAATGTCCTGTACAGCATCATGACAGAAGAATGGTGGTCTGTCTGTCAGAATGTGCTGAACAGATTTGCTCTTTGAGGAGGAGTGTCATGTTTGGATGAAGGTACTTAACCCAAGACATGCAGAATACAACACTGACCAAAAACTGATGGAAAAAATGATTTATTTATAAGGAGGAACTTAAGGTGCACAGATAAGTCTGTGGTTGGAACTGCAACAACAGCTCAGCGTCTGGAGGAGGGAGAACACAGGTGAGCTTAGGTTCTGGTTTCAAAATCCATTGTAGGCAGGCAGAGGTGTTCAGCAGACTTACTGTGGTGGGTGTATGTGTTGGCTGGAGGAGGGAGAGGTAGAGAGGAAGCGCAGGAGAGGGAGCAGAGGTGGAGAGAAGCGGGGCGTCCTGGTGGATGGGGCACTGGGTGAGATGAGAGGTGGGTTATGGAGGGTGGTGATAAGGTCCGTGTGTTGAATATCCAAATCCTGGAGTAGAGGTCAGTATCCAATGAGGTCGACAGGAATCCTGAAGAATGGTAAATCCAATATAAGAGCAAAAACACTACGAAATAACATTAATCCTAGGAACACTAGAGGTAACACGAGTGGCTGGTTACTACCAAAACTGAGGCAATCTTCTGGCGTCAAATTTTGTCCTCCATCCACCTTAAATAGGAAAGCACCCCGCTGATTGCTGATCAGGAATGGCTGGGGTGTAGTCACCAGAACCATGAAGAATGTGTCTCCAGAGACAACTCGGGTCCTGGTACCAATCAGGAAAGCGGACCTTATCACCCAGAGCTGCCAGGTCACGCTCAAAGCCTTCATGTTCACGCTGCAGAGCCTGAACGCTGGCCAGGTGGTGGCCGTAGTTGTCTGTGTTCAGGGCCTGGTTCTTCTCCTCGATCCACTCTTTGGTCTCATCAGCGTCTCTGAGAAGACATCAGAACTCCGTCTGAGTGTGGGTCCAAACTCTACTGACCCGTAAGCGGCGCATAAGTGTGCGGGGTACCTGTGGAAGCGCTACACCTCATGGGCGCTGCCCAGCATGTTGCAGCGAGCGCCAGCGGTTGTTCAGCTCCTGGAGAGAAACCAAACCCAGTGAGATGAAGGTGGACGCCAGCGGGCTGGACGCCGGACGAGGAAACCTGGAGACGGATCGCTCAGACAGGAAGGGAAGAGCTTCCTCTTACCTTGATGGAATTAAAGTTAGCCGTCGTCTGAACGCCCAACCGTACGGTCTGAGGTCAAAGGTCACAGGAAACACACACCAGTCAGCAGTCATACAGATGCATAAAGATAACTGTAGCCATGGCAACCAGCTGACATGTCCCCACTTTCACCAGCACCTGGTGCCTGCCGGGTCACCTGAATTCCTGTGTGATGTCAGCACGGTCGGCCGTGACTGCTGCCATCAGAGGTGACCTCTGATCAGCTGAATGAACTCACCTTCTAGGGTGACGCCGTGTTAGAGTCGGCTTCGTCCTGTAAACAAACAAACAAACAAACAAATGAGTGGTAACATAAACACCACGTCTGGTTCTGGTGGAGGCGGAGGACAACATGCACCTTTCCAGGAGCAGAACCCAGATGTTCTTGTTGCTACAAACAGAGACGAGCAGAGTTAACAAACCAGGAAGTGAGAGGGACCAGCTGCTGCAGACAGGTGACGCTCACCTGAGCCTGAACCATAGGAGCCTCCTCAGCCATCAGACCTTCTGACTCCAGTTCAGATGCCACCTTGTTGATGTCCCTCAGGCGGGACTCGTTGGCCTTCAGGTCCTGCAGGACAAAAGCACCTGCTGATCACCTTGTTGCTGTCGGGTTAACAGGTCTGGTGTTAGAACGTGGTGGATAAGAATGTTCTGACGGGCCGAGGGCTCTGAACTCACCCTGCAGGACTGGGCCTGCTCCTTCAGGGCCTGGATGCTGCTGCCATAAGCCGACAGGTCCGACATCAGGGCCTCGTGCTTCTTCAGGAGAGCCTGTGGAGCAGAACATCAGAACCTTCAGCTCGTCTGACACAAGTGGAGCTTTCTCGCAGCGATGGTCCAATCGGATCCGCCACCGTCAAACAAACCCTGCTCAGTTCACCGCAGACGCAGCTCTGCGGGTGTTTAGTGGAAAAGCGTGAGCCTTCTGCCGGCAGCCACGTGTCATGGCTGCTCTGCAGCGGGAACACACATCACAGCTTGTAAACCGTTTGAAATAAGAGCGCCGGGAACACGTTTGTCATCACTTCCTGTGCGAGGCCAGCACTTCTACCCCTAACCCATGAGACGCTCAAACGAGCAACGATGTCTGGTAGACAACCGAAGGAAATGACAAATACAGAAACACTAATTATGAAGGACTGGAAAGAGAGCAAAGAAAAGCGATTGGAGTTTCTCAGGAAGGGACTTCCATACCTCGGCCAAGTCCTCGTCTTTCCCTTAGTCTGGACTTCCAACGATGGGCTCCTTCTCCCTCATCCAGGACTCGGCCTCATTAGCATCCGCAAAGTACTGCTGGGCCTGCAGAGAGTCCTCCAGGTCCTGCCTCCTCTGGGACGCCTTGGCCTTTAGCGTGTCCCAACGTCCATGAAGCTCTGACAGCTTAGTCTTCACCTCCTCACCAGCGAAGTGACCTGGACCCAAAAAAAGTGAGCCAGAACCTGCAGACACCTCAGAAACATGTCAGGACCAGACCTGCTCTACCTTCCTCCACCATGGTCTCTCCTTTCTGGGTGACAGCCTTGATGCGAGGTTCATGACCTGTGATCTCAGCCTGCAGAGCCTGGTGCTTCTTCAACAGGTTCTGGACACCAATCAGGTCCTTCCCTGAGGACACATGTTAGAGTTCAGCATTATGCAGTAGACAGACCAGTTTAACCCAGGGGTTTCTTTCTTCTACAATCTGCTCTTTAACTGTATTCTTTCCTGCTATTTCAGCTGTTAACTTTATTTTTTCTCCAAGTGTTTTTCTCCCCAGAAGAAGCTACAACGATGTTCTGCTGAGCTGTGGTGGCCTCATGGAGGGGGCCATCGGCTAGCACACTGCTGCTAACCACTTAAACATTCTCCCTCTCCTGATAGTAACATTTTACTTTCTTTGATGTTGGATCTGCTACTACTAGTTTACCCGTTTAATTATAGATTCACTAGGATAAATACAATAAAGTTTATCTCTTGCCAAATAGAATATTTACTGTGGCGAGCCCGTGAAGAGGTGTAGGAGAATGCGACAAATTTGTCTGTTAAAAAGTCTGTTATGTACAAAAAACACAATATCATCACACTATTTTGGACCGATACATGACGGTCAGGTCCAGCTTGGGGAGAAAATATGACACGTCTTTCAGGATGGACTTCATCTTTGGTAGCTGGCGAAGCCGGGAAAAGCAGGATCTAACCACCTGGCTAATGTGGGAGTCCATCCGCATCTCTGGGTCCAAAACCACCCCCAGGTTAGTGATGGTTGGCTTCACTAAGCTGCAAAAACAGGGTTGCAGGACAGGACTAACTGCAGTGGGAAAGGGAGGAACAAATATTCCAGTTATAAATATTAAATATTTGAACAAATAAATATTTGTTAAAAGGAAGAAACTGATGATGACTTTAAGATTAGAGGAATGTTCTAGAACGGGTCTGGAACCAACGATGGCCCTTTGGATCAAATTTGGATTAAAAAAATAGCTCATGATTTTATTTATGGATGGAATAAAAATACAGGTTGTAAGCATCTTCTCAATATCTTCATGTTGCACGACTTTCCACAGCAGAAGGACACAAAAACTGCCAGAATTATGATTAGAAAGATTTACGTTTTAATCTCAGAATCCCAACTTTTCCCAGAATCTTCACATTATTCTATGAATTCAGAGAAAATATACATTTTTCAGAGGTCTCGCTCCCCTGTTGTGGATATTTCTCAAAATTCAACCATTTTTTCTTTTTAAAAGCTTTAGTAAGAGTTTGGACTCTAAACAAGTTTTACTTTGCAGACTGCTTGTCTAAACCTTCATCAGATCTGCTCATAATAAAACATTTGGGTTATATTTAATGCCCAGGAAGATGCTCTTCCTGGGCATTAAGTTATCAAAAACAGATAAAAGTATTTTTTACCATAATTTTAACTGCTATCAGCTGATAAAAATAATAAAAAACAGCCTGATCATTAAAGGGGTGTAAGTGAAACCTCGCGGATCACACAAACCATCATGCTGTCTATATGACTTTGAAAATATATAGTTTAATTACAGTTTGATTTATTTGACATCTGTATAATGTTTATTATTTTGTTTTTTCCCCCTAAATGCCTAACGTTTTAGTTTTACATGAATATTAGTCATTCATCACAATACATAAAGTTACACATTTTAAATTTTAATAGGGGAAGACTGCAGGAGGGAGCGGTAAAATACAGAAATCCCCAGCAAAAACAAGAAACTTTACGAGTCTGATGAAACCCGCTGGAGTTCCTTCAGCAGGCCTGGTGGCAGCTACAACGGCCCAGTGGCTGTGCTTGGTCAATGTTATCGAGCTCAGTCCGGCTCGGCCGTGAACGAGCCGAGGCGACATCCTGCTCTGCTTAAGAAGAGGTGTTATTTTCCGCTTCAGAAGAAGCGTCCGTGTTTTACGCTTTCTCAGAGACATGTCACGTTGCTAAGTTGTTAGCGCCGCGCGCTAACACGTCAATAGTGCAGCATAGCCTGCTGGAGGGTTCAGATGAAAACACCCTACCACTCAGGCTGCTTACACATCGATATTAAGTTGTCGCTGTTGCGCTCACGCCGTAATACAGTATTAGATGCGGTTAAAGTCAGACATGAAAAACTCCACGAGCGGTCAGACCGCGCAGCAGCTAGGCGCAGCAAGTAGGCACCGGATCGGTCAGGCTGCCCGGCCTGACCGCTGGGGATTACCGGATGGAAGAATGGACACAGAAGTCTCCCTCTTAGCGCTCCGTCATATGTCAACCCATTTTTATCTTAAATGCACTGGGTTTTACCCTATTACCCATCTAAATATGCCCTATTAATTATTTTACCGTATTTTACATTTAAATTTCATGGTTAAACAGTACATGCTACATGTTAAACTGATAGTTAGCTAGCTACTTCGGTAAACTCAGCTAGTTTAAAGGTGGCAGTGACATAAAATACGAATATAGATTTTAACTTACCGAAAAAAATGAAGTGGAGACTCCTTGGACGCTCTATTAGTGAAATTAATACCACTGCAAGTCATTTTGTCCAACAATTGCACCAATAATATCCAAAGAAGAATACACAAACACAGAGACTCAAAATGCCGGAGCAGTTTCCAAGCCAGACCGAGGCTGTACTGAGGCCTTTCCACGGAGCTAGCTCTGTGGTCACGTGGGTCTGAGGCGGCGGTCACGTGTGTCGGATGCTCATTAATTATACAGAATTTTAGGCTTTCAATACACTTAAACAGAAGAGTGAGAAAAAAATTCACCCCCCTCAGAGTTGTCATGAGTATAAACTAGATAATTTAGACAAAAAACATGTTTTGGCACCAGGCTGTAAACATGTTTATTTCTGCTGTGAAATCGGCATTTTTAACATGGGAGTCAATGAGGATTTGCTCGCTTCTGGCACCAGCCCCCAGCGGATGAGGGTGGAACTGCAATTTTTCTTACTTCCGGGATGGGACCATTTTCTGAGCGGCATTGTGGGGGCTTGGTAAAGACTAGTATAAGTAAAGACTAATATTAATATACTTTAAACTAATATGAGTAAAGACTAGTATAAGTAAAGACTAGTATACTTTAAACTAATATGAGTAAAGACGAGTATAAGTAAAGACTAGTATACGTTAAACTAATATGAGTAAAGACTAGTATAAGTAAAGACTAGTATACATTAAACTAATGAGTAAAGACTAGTTTAAGTAAAGACTAGTATACTTTAAACTAATATGAGTAAAGACTAGTATAAGTAAAGACTAGTATACGTTAAACTAATGAGTAAAGACTAGTTTAAGTAAAGACTAGTATACGTCAAACTAATATGAGTAAAGACCAGGCACGTGCAGAGGGGGGTGCGGAGGGTGCTTGAGACCCTGCCCCTTTTGTCCGAAGTGCCCAAAGTGCCCTTTTTCCGGTCGTTCGTCAGATTTTACGTACAAAACTGTTATACTGTGTTACATTCGGGCACTAGGACCATGCTGAGGCAGCCGCCTCAAGCTGAAGGCTATTTTCCCTTAAACCCGCCTACAAACTCACTGATTGGCTCTGCCGCGTCATACTAACGAGTGATTGGTTGTCCTTACTGTCGCTCTACCTTGTTGAGACGACAGACCGGTGTTTTCCCTGCGGACAGGAGTCTGCGTTCATCTACCTGTAAGTTTTTTTTCTGCCTGCTTCACGTCAGCTGGATAGATTTTAATATCAGAGCTTTTGTTTACGTGCGTTTGAGTCCGTGGTTAGTGTGTGTGGAGCAGAGACAGGTAGCTGCATGTCTGGGACAGAAAATGAGACACGAGAGAGACTTCTCCTGAAGTGTTGCAGAAACTCAAAGAATCAATGTCTCACTCTAGATTCTCCGGGTCATAACTTCTGAATTACTAATCGAATAAAAATAATTCAAACGGTTTCTAAAAGTACATAAAACGAGCTTTCCAACGAGGTATTACATGCAGTGGCGGAGCTTGATATGTGCAACATGTGCGGCCGAACAGGGCGGCAGTCTGGAGGGGGCGGCATTTAATTTTATTTATTTATTTATTTTTTTTTTTTTCTTCCATCAACCGATACATCAACAAAACATAGAAATCACATGTTCTTCATAATAATAATAGTGATGAGTGATGATAATAATAATATTTCTGTAATAAAAGCACAACAAAGTCATTGTTTGCGTTTATATTGGGATTTTATTGCGCCCCCTTGTGTCCGCCGCGCCTCTGTGGTGCGCTCTATAGCGCCCTTCATCAGGTGGGGGGCGGAGGGATCTCGGAGAGTGATGATGGAGGGATACAGGTACCGTTTCACATATCACCACTCACAAACATAATGGAGAAGAAGCGGTCGAAGCCATCTGGTGCCCAATTTCGGAAAAAAATAAAAGAAGAGGAGGAGAAACGAGGAAAAGATGCAGGTATGCATCTCTTTATTATTTAGTTGGTATTTTTCCCGCCTGTCCCCCAACTTATTGATTAACTAACCTCTCTAATCTGTACGTTTTGCATGGTGCTATGATGATCCCTTCAAATGTCTTTTGCTAGCTTCTTACGTTGCATGTATTTAGAACTACTTCCAACCGCTAGCTTTTTCTTTGTCAAATGAGCTTTTATGAAAAGCTAAGAGTGGGAAAACCGAAAGGCTGATAACCAAACGCTATCAAATTAAAATGAGTCTTTGAGAATTTTGCTGAAATACATTGACGGCGGGCGGCAGGTCTCGCGCCGGCGCCATTCGCCTTTCTATTTGGACTCGGGAAATGAGCTACGTATTATTTACCCCACGAAAAACGGAGCGGCAGCGGGCCGCTGGAGGTGCCCTGCTAGTAAGATCCCGTTTATACTGTAAACTGCCATAAAATAAAAACTATAATAGCTAGAGCGGTCTTTTTTTTAGCTGAAAGTTGAGACTGTCTCGCCTTTCAGCACTGTACAAGTCGATGATGTCATCGTGTTGCGTTGTGTGCTGCACAGCACACCGCGGCTATGTTAACTCACAGTGACCTTGAAGCAGCGTGGGAGAGTTGAAGAATTTAACCAGTTAAAATGGATCAATGGATATTTAATCAATAGTTGTGGCGCCTCTGGTCATTTAGTTCTTTGTGTGCCGGAGACATTTGCTGAATAAGGAAATAAAAACTTAAAATGACAAAAAAAATTAGGGAAAAACACTTGTTTTGTATTTTATCAATTATTAATGATTAATAGATTGTTGGTGTTTTAACTTTTGGTAAAGGAAAACACACAATTTCCAGGCAGCCCCAGTCTGGAGAAGTGATGGTGACATCAGCCGTTAAAAATAAATAATACTCTGAGGTTTTTATGAATAATTTGTACTTTTACTTGAGTATTTCTCTAACAGCAGTACTTTTACTTGTAAATGAGTAATATTTTAGCAATGTAACAGTACTTGTACTTGAGTACAGATTTTCAGAATTCTTTCCACCACTGCTGAAAACTGTAAATGCTCATTGTAACATGTTAATTAAAATGCTAAAGCAACAGACGTGACATGAAGATTGTATTGTTTGTTTTATGCAACATCAGGAGCCCTACACAGATATTTTGGGATGACATCAGCTGCCACTGAGGAACAGCCATCTACCTCCACTGCTCATACCAGTAGGCCAGTATTTGAACTCGAGGAGGGACAGTCTGCTGGCACCACATCTCCCCAGGAAGATACTTTAGGTGGGTTTTGCACATGTGTGTGTGTCCAGCAAACATTTAGCTATAGACATTTAAATAGTATTTTCACAGAATAGGGGAATTGTTCCATATAGCAATGTGGTGAGTTATGCTTCCATTTTCTGTCAATAGAGAGACCTACCAGTATATGTGAACTTGATGAGGGACAGCCAGCTGCCACGTCTCCCCAACAAGATATGTCAGGTAAGTTTTGCACAAGTGTGTGTGTGTGTGTGTGTGTGTCCTGCAAACATTAGAGAAATTTGAGTGTCACATATTGTATTTTAATAGAATATGTGAAATGGTCCACATAGCAATGTGTTGAGTTACGATTCTGTTTTCTGTCAATAGAGAAGCCTGAACGATCAACCAATGAGTCCCACTGAAGGTGATGATGAGCCTCTTTCTTCAGACCCAGCCAAGTGGCCATCACCAATTACCGACAGCATACGCACAGAGCTAGCTCGAAGAGGACCTACCAAGGTGCCAACTACTTTCATATTTCCCAGGAATGAAGGCGATGGCAGGTGTTGTCATCATCACTATTTCAGTAGAACTTTGACAAGTGGTGAGAAGGTGGCCAGGAGCTGGATGTTGTATTCAGTTAGCAAACGTTGTTATATATAATACACTCCACGCAATTTGAAACAAAGTTGTAGGTGTAATTTTTTTTCTTGTGTGTGTGTGTGTGGGGGGGGGGGGGGGGGGGGGGGGGGGCTTGCGGGGGATCTCGCAGGCGCCATTTAGGCCAGCTCCGCCTCTGATTACAAGATGTTATTCATGTTACTCCAAAAATCACTGTTAGAAGGAAACCAGCTTTGCAGCGTCACAGAAAGAAACGTAGCGAACCGCGACGGGAGGGCGAGAACCGAAAGGAGGAGATGATCTGATCATCTTCATCAGCAGCTTTTATAAAGTTATGGAAACGCCACAAATAAAATCCACCTGGTTGGTCAGGTGTCCCAGAAGGCTGTTTCTGTAGATGGTGACATGAGGAGGGACAGATTAAAGTCACACTGGTTTTTATTTGAACACTCAACTGTTTACTAAATGATTCAGCTTCATTCCAGCATTATTTATACGTACAATAAATATTTATTTAGCTAAAAATATAATGTTATCAGTGCAGAATTTTATTAGTTGACTTTTTGTAATGGAATGTTTACATTTAACCTTTTATCTGCTTATTGATCTTCATAATGCTGGTAGAAATGTAGCTACAGCTGTGAAGTAGCCTGTGGGTGTTATTTTATGATACCTAGTATTTATTTTACTGTATCCCGTTCTCTGGATCAGAGCGTAGACCTGTGGTCACAGACAGGCTGCAGTCATTAAAATGGTTAACATGAGGTCAGGGGTCACACTGTTTTCTGAGTGTTTGCAACACAGTTCTGAATTTAAATACCGGTAGTTCTTTTGACATAGTTTGCTCAAGTCATTTTGAAGTTCCTGTTTAGTAATAAATGTAAAGAAAATTCAAATCTGTTTTTTTTTTTCATTTAAGCTGCAGTTTTACAGACTTTAATAAACATAAACACTAAATACAAACCAGACACTGAAAGCTGAGGTTGTTCTGAAAAAAGGAGCAGAGTTACAAACATTTTACACTTTTATTACAATTTTAAAGCCATAAACAAAAAAAAATACTTGTTATATTTATGGTCATAAGAGGGTTAAACGTGATAAATGTTCCACCTCCCACAAAGAGATGGTAAAAGAGAATGTGAGCATAATTATATACATTTTATTACTTTATTAAGTATTTTTTATTATTGACTATTACTCCAAAGAGTTCAGATGAAGGCAACTGGACTTCTTTGGTTTCTTTAAAACATTTCACTTCTCCTCTGAGGAGCTTTGTCAGTTCTGACTGGAACATGGGAGAGTCAAGCTCATAAGCTGTAGCTGTCTGTTGTTATTTAAAGAGCAGAAACTACTCTGAGTACCCCGCCTCTCCATCTCCTGATGAGTGGTTAGCCTCTATTGATGGTGAGTCATCGTGTTGATTAGATGCAGGAAGATGTGACCTAGACTGAAACTGAATGAGATTCAAAAAAAGTTCTAATCTTTTAAACAACGCTGTTGGTCCTCTTGGTCCTTGTTCTGGTTTTCTAAAAGCCTGTGTTAAAAACCTTGGTGTGTTTTTAGATGGTTCTTTTAATCTTTACAGACAGGTGAGTGCAGTGGTCCAATCAGGTTTTTATCATTTAAGGCAGATAGCAAAGGTGAAGCCATACCTTCCTGCTAATGTCCTCGAACCTGGACATTAGCAGGAAGGTATGGCTTCCTGCTAATAGCTTCAAGACCGAACACCTGTTCGGTCTTGCTGATTGGACTACTGCGACTCCCTGTATTCTGGCCTGGGCCAGTCCTCCCCACACCGACTTCAGCTGGTCCAAAATGCAGCGGCCCGCTTGCTGACTGGAACCAGCAAGCGGGATCACATAACCCCGGTTCTGGCCTCTCTCCATTGGCTTCCTGTCTCTTACAGGATCCGTTTCAAAATTTTACTTTTTGTTTTTAAATCCCTTCATGGCCTGGCCCCAGTTTACATCTCTGAGCTGCTGTCCGCTTACGTCCCTGCCAGAACCATGAGGTCCAGCTCTCAAGCTCTTTTAACAGTTCAAAAAACCCGCCACAAGACTCGCTGCAACAGAGCGTTCTCTGTGGTTGGGCCCAAACTGTGGAACAAGCTACCGCTCAACATCAGGACCACACAGAATCTAGACCATTTTAAATCCCTTCTTAAGATGCAATTTTTGATTTGGCTTTTTATGCAGGTTGACTTGAGCATCTTAATAGTTTTTAACAGTTTTTATCACAGATTGTGACTGTTGTGTGCTCATCTTATTTTAGGTTTTTATTGTTGATTTGTTGTATCTTTTTTTGTTTTACCTTGTACAGCGCTTTGGTGTAGCTTTGCTGCTGTAAATGCGCTCTGTAAGTAAAATTGACCTTGACCTTGACCAAAGCTGCATTATTGGTTCTGGAAAGGTGAAATCTAAGCCCCGCCCCTATTTAAAGTGGGGTTTTCACGTTTTGACATAGATAGCTTATTTTACTCCTCTCTCAAATCATCTATCTTCTCTGTCCAGAATGTGGACTTTGTCATCTTCAAAGGTGTGTCCCTTGTCCTTCAGGTGAAGGTGGACTGCAGAGTTTTGACCTGAAGAGGTGGCTCTCCTGTGTTGTGTTATGTTCTTGTGTAATTGTTGTTTAGTTTCTCTAATGTGAACATCTGGACAGTGCTCCTACACTGGACTGCATAAACGAACCCACTGAGCTTCTGTTTGGGTGTTTTGTCTTCTGGATGGACCAGGTTCTGTCTGAGGGTGTTGTTGGGTATAAAGTTTACCGGGATGTTGTGTTTGGAGAAGATTCTTCTAAGTTTCTCTGAGACTCCTGCCACGTATGTGATGATGGTGCCTTTGTGTAAAGGGTGTTGTTGTTAGGTTGGTAGCAGAGCTCTCATGTTAAGTGTTAAGTTCAGTGAGATCATGGAATGGGATCAAGAATTTCCTACTAACAGGAAAAAGATCTCAGCTAACATAGCCGTAGATCACAATGGATAAGTCTCTGTGGTTGCATATATTTTACTACCTCTTACTAGAGCTGTCTTTAGTAAGCACAAAATATCTTTGGTTGTACACCTGTGCAATAGCAATACAGTATCTTGATTTCTGTTGAATGTACTTCCTGAATGAGTGACCTTTTCAGGCTAAAATAACAAAATGACAAATACAGACAGAAGGACAACTTCTTTCTTCTTTTATAATGCGTTGCATCACCACCTGCTATCAGAACAGGACTCGGTATTGGAAGATAATCAAAAATCAAACAACTTGGACTCGGATCAGGGGCAAAAATGTGGTTGTAACATCTCTAGATACAAGTCAGCTTTAAAAACTAAAACTATTATTTATGAACTAACATTAACACTAATGACACTAATTTATATATTTTTATTATGTTGTTTGAACCCAAGGGTCTCATTATCTGAATTTTCTAACTTATTGGATTGCTCTATAAGTGCCCCTTTTTTTACTTTGAGCACCCGCCCCGTCAAAGGTCTCTGCACGGCCCTGGTAAAGACTAGTATAAGTAAAGACTAGTATAAGTAAAGACTAGTATACGTCAAACTAATATGAGTAAAAACTAGTATACGTCAAACTAATATGAGTAAAGACTAGTATACGTTAAACTAATATGAGTAAAGACTAGTATACGTTAAACTAATACGAGTAAAGACTAGTATACGTCAAACTAATATGAGTAAAAACTAGTATACGTCAAACTAATATGAGTAAAGACTAGTATACGTTAAACTAATATGAGTAAAGACTAGTATACGTTAAACTAATATAAGTAAAGACTAGTATAAGTAAAGACTAGTATACTTTAAACTAATATGAGTAAAGACTAGTATAAGTAAAGACTAATATTAATATACGTTAAACTAATATGAGTAAAGACTAGTATACGTCAAACTAATATGAGTAAAGACTAGTATACGTTAAACTAATATGAGTAAAGACTAGTATACGTTAAACTAATATGAGTAAAGACTAGTATACGTCAAACTAATATGAGTAAAGACTAGTATACGTCAAACTAATATGAGTAAAGACTAGTATACGTTAAACTAATATAAGTAAAGACTAGTATAAGTAAAGACTAGTATACGTTAAACTAATATAAGTAAAGACTAGTATAAGTAAAGACTAGTATACTTTAAACTAATATGAGTAAAGACTAGTATAAGTAAAGACTAATATTAATATACGTCAAACTAATATGAGTAAAGACTAGTATAAGTAAAGACTAGTATACTTTAAACTAATATAAGTAAAGACGAGTATAAGTAAAGACTAGTATACGTCAAACTAATATGAGTAAAGACTATGAGGCCAGTCTTTAAACGACAGCCGCTGTGTCTTTAAACGTTTTCTTGGTTTCTCTTCAGTTTTTTAAAAATGTATTCCTCTCTCTCAGTTGTAAACGTAGCTGTTTTACCTTCATCTGCAGATGGAGTCTCATCTTCCCTCTTACGTTTTTTGCTCTCAGGCATATTAACATTTGATCTGTAGTGCTCTTTGTACTTATTCCAGGTAAGCTTGGTGCAATCCCGTGGTTCGTCTAGCTGAATCTTTGGTCGCTTTTTCAGTGCCGTGGCCACGTCGTATGAAATGCATTCTGCTTTTCTTTTACCTTTCTGAATTTCCAATGGCGTGTGCAGTTGGACAGTCTTGGGGGAGCTTTGCGCTCCGTCTGACAGATTGTGGTGGCCTAAAGCTTTTAGTGGCTTGTAACACAGTTTAGCCTCTCTGTTGTTAAAATCCTGTTTCAAAGTCTTGTTTTGCTGTTTCTGCAGCTTAGCCCCGCCGGCAGATTCATTGGAAGGTTTGCCTTCGAGGTTATTCATAGCAGACAATAAATTCTGTTGACCTATGTTTAAAACGGTCATCTCGACATCTCTTTTAAACTTTTCCTGAGCCATTTTGCTGTGGTAGGTCTGAGCCAGATCTCTGGACTTACGGTATTTCTCTTCCATCATTTTGTTGGCCTCCACTTCATTGGAAAGTTGTTTCCTGAGGTATTTAATTTCCGTGAACTGCTTGTCATTTTGAAGACACATTTCGGTGTATCTGGACTGGAGTAATGACCTTTCAGATTTCTCCTTTTGCAGAGATGTGTCGCTCGCCCGCCATTTGCTCTCCATATTTCTGGTGGCCACCAGTTGTTCAGAAAGCTTTTTTCTAAGATCCATCACTTGTTCCCTCAGATGTTTAGTCTCAAGCATTAAATCAGCATTTTTTTCCTTAAGCTGAGAATTTTCCTGACGAACCGGCTCGTTTTTGGGTATACGATAATTTTGTAGTCCAGGCATTTTGATTAGAAGTAGACAGTTATTGACTGAAACTGCTCAATAACACAAGAACCACGCACTGTGTGAAGGACAGTCAGTAGAGCAAACTGGTCGTCTCTGGCTAAAGATTCCAAATGACTCAGACCGCGTTGTTCCTTTGTGACGTCATCGTCATGCCGTGGTCTGGTTTGCAGCTCCTTTATGTGCAGAGGTGGAAAGTAACGAATTAAATTTACTCACGTTACTGTAATTGAGTAGCTTTTTTGTATATTTATACTTTTTAAGTCGTTTTTAAAATCTGTACTTTTACTTTTACTTGAGTAAGTTTTTTAAAAAGAATTGTAATTCGCTACATTTTAAATCATATCCGTTACGGAGTAAAAAAAAATTGTAGGCTTAATAAATTAAAAATATTACGTGCAGCAGCGTCGGAACAGAAAGAGACACCTGCATGAGCGCCACGTCTAAAGGGGGGGGGGGGGGGGGGTACACCCGTGATAATGAGAACTGTCATTTTTACCGCAGGTTTGCTCAAAAACATCAGGTCAATCCCTGTGATCCACTCGCTGTTTATCTCCTCTCTCCCTCCTCACCTGTTGGTTGGGACCCGCACCTTCGCGCACCGGTGTTACGTCATCGGAATTCTGCTCGGTTCGGTAACCTGATTCGGTTCCGTGTTTGAAACGTGTTTCTCTACCGCTCCGCACGGAAGCGGCAAAATAAAATTTAGCGCTAATAACAAGCGGATTCTCAGCGCTCTGCTCCTAAAACAGAAGACCTGCAGGTCTCTGTGAGTTAATCCTGATACTGTTCAGGTGTAAACATTGTGCTCCATCCCTGTGTTTGAACTCAGAAGATGCTTCTTGATGCCACAGATATGTGATGATTTAGCTTGTTTCTTTATTTTACTCCAGAATAAGAGAATAAATTATTACAAAAGCAGTTCAGTGTTAGTCATTCAAATGATTCATGCTGCAGTGTGTGTGTGTGTGTGTGTGTGTGTGTGTGTGTGTGTGTGTGTGTGTGTGTGTGTGTGTGTGTGTGTGTGTGTGTGTGTGTGTGTGTGTGTGTGTTACACATATAGGACTGCATAAGACAGCATGGTTTCATCAAATCCATGCATCCAATATTGGCTGAAGTAACGGCTCAGGAACATAACATATTTCATAAATGATGACGTCTCTGCAGTGTTTATGATAATGTTTTATCTTATATTGGACCTATCTTTGGTCTGGGAGGTGTAACATATCATGATACAAGCCTTTTAAATCATGTGTTACAAGAGCAGATGAATGCATGAATTTAAAGTTCATGTTTGGAGACCACCCTTCACAGTTTGGAGGCTCACGCTGGTGGGGAGACACCATTAGTTCTAGTAACACCTGGGCTCCCAAGTAGAGCCCTGCACTGAAGCCCTAGGCCCTCGGGTCGGCCTGACCCGACGGCCCGAGGGCCGGGCTTCGGGCCAATGACTGTGTAATTACCCCGGACACTGGCCGGGCCGGGCGCCTTTATTTTTAATCGAATTCATAAAAAAATTGAAACACTTAAACGCAGCAGTAGCTCTGCGCGGGACTGTTTTCTTCATCCCGCTCCTGCCCGCTCCCGCTGAATTTCTGACCATTACCGCCCGCACCCGCAGCGTGCATGTCTACTCCCGCCCGCAACCGCAAAACTCAGAGAAATTATTACCTCACAGTAAAAGAGATGTATTGAGTTTGCGTCCTCAACGTGTCATTTTATAGGCTATACCAGGGGTCGGCAACCCGCGGCTCTTCCATCCATCTGATGCAGCTCTCTGTGCTTGTAAAATAATGAATGGATATTTAAATAAAATGCTTTATATTTTACTGAATTAATTTTATATCTGTAAGTCAGTTCTATGTAAAGATTGTCTGCGTAAACCTGAACAGGCCCAACCCGGTCTTACTGTGAGACCGGGTTGACGCGTCACGCTTGTGCGTAATCATAGGCGCTTATGAGCTGAAGAGGATGTGAGATTCTGGGCTTCTCCTCAGACGGCTCCTGGATGCATCACCACATTGGAGACAGGAACAAGCGCTATTCAGCCAAAGTTTCATAATAAGGGAACATTTTCTAAGTGACAAGTCTCTCTGAGAGACAGGGTTTGGAAAACACTCGCTTCAGTAGGAGGAACCTTCCCGCATGCGCTCTGGTTCTGCGACGCGCTCCAAGCCAATCTCCACAACTTCACAACTAGTAGGAAACATTATTTCTGACTAGCTTAATGAACTGACCTGAATTGGAATGTTTATTATGTGAAGTGCCTTGAGACGACTCTTTGCCTTGATTTGGCGCTTTATAAATAAACTTGAATTGAATGGAACTGAAAAAGGAAATGTTGGATCAACATTTAATTTATATATATATATATATATGTATATATATATATATATATATATATATATATATATATATATATATATATATATATATATATATATTAGTTAATCTATGATGTTACCAGTTAAAATGTTGTCCATAATGCTTACTGGTGTTAAACAGAAAATAAAATGTTGTACTAGTCCTTTAAGAGAAGAAGAAGAAAAACAAAATGGATGCTTGAGTTCTGAACCAGGGGCATTTTTCTGTTAATAAAAGTTGCAAAAGTATGAAGAAGAACGTGTCGTCTGGCAGTTCATTCAAAGGGGGCAACATTAGCAGAACAAACGTTTCTTGAAGTAGTTTGAAGAGGCTTTCCTGTTTCACAGGAAGCAGCTTGAAGGTGTAAATCAAGTCTTTGAATTTCAGAAACCGCGCAGGTGGTCAACGAAGGCGAGGTGTGAAAAATTAGATGGACTTTTAACCTTTGTTGCTGCATGTTGTTTGCGCAGTAGTTGCTGTTGCATCACTTAATGCAGTTTAGGAAACCTGATCCACTTTTACAAAACTGCTATTTGATTTGTAGAACTTTTAAATGTATATTTTTATTACAGAGCTTCAATGACACCCTTGAAAACGTGCCTATATGCAGATGTGCGTTTTCAGCTCTTCTCTTTAATTGCAAAATCATCTTCAAAGCTGCAAAACCTTTTGTCCTGTAAAACGTCTCAGCCTGTCCTGTTCTGTAAAACTTTCACTGCAGGTGAAAGCAATAAAACACAACAGTCATAAAACTGATTCGGACCATAAAAACTGATGCAGGAGTGTAAGACTACATGCCACCACCTAGTGGACAAACGGCTGACCTAACAGCAAGGAGACTGCATGCATGCTTTGAATGTCTGTTATATGTGATGCATTTTAAATAGATTTTTCAGATCAAGAGTGACAATTTTGCAAACACACACATAATAATGAAGTACATGAAGACTTGGAATCAAGAGTGCATTAAAGTCCGTCTTTTGAGAGAAACAATTAAAAAAAGTAAAGTTCACCTTTGGTCAGAAATAAACCCAAAGAGTAGAAATGATTCAGCGTGGCTTGTTGACACCTTCCCACAGAGCTTCCGTTCTGAGGTTGTCTATAAAATGTGGTGTACAGGTTAGAAACCCAGACTATCGGAGTAACCATGATGCTGATGAGCTGCTTCCTTTACGTCCTGCTGTCGGGCGGCATCGCCGGTAACATCACACCTTTTCTTTTTCTTAATATTAACGGATCTCTAATAAAGTGTTTATTTCATCATTTTTTCTCACGGTAGGGGCTGCCGGGGGCAGCGTAGTAGGTGGCACGGTTGCAAAGCCCCACTCTAGACCCTACATGGCATCACTCCAGATTGATGACCACCATACATGCGGTGGGGTCCTCGTTCGGAAGGACTATGTTCTGACTGCAGCACACTGCAAAAAGTCAGTTTGGTTGAAACTTAACTACTTTAACCCTGAAATTACAGTTTAGTCAGTTAAACGTAATTTTCTCTGTCAATGTCAAGAATAATAAATGTACAACATGATTAGCAAAACTATGTGATTTTGACCCTTTACAGACGGGGCCTAAAGTGCCCATTTTATTAACTAGAATCACTTGTCTTTGTCTTACAGCTGTTACCGGGACTTGACTGTGGTGCTCGGAGCACACAACATCTGCAAAAAGGAGAAAAGTCAGCAAAAAATCAAAGTGAAAAAGTACCAGCCGCATCCCAAATACACTGGAAAATTCGACTATGACATCATGCTACTGAAGGTACTGGCTTGTGTCAAACGTTTTCCTAAATAGCAGTTATAGGCCAAAATGTACTTTAAATGTGTTTTTCCACTTCTTCAGTTGGAAAACAATGCCAAACTGGATAAGTACGTAGGGCCGATTGAACTTCCGGAGATGGATGAAAATATCCTGGCTAATGTTAGCTGCGCTGTTGCTGGCTGGGGCCAATCTGGACCCAAAAAGCCAACTTCGGATGTGCTGAAGGAAGCTACCGAGAAGATTCAGTTCAGCGTTGAGTGCAACCATATTTGGAAAGAAAATTTCACCAGCCATCGTATGATTTGCACCAAGATTACAAAGGGAGGAGGAGTTTGCCAGGTAACAAAACGTTACATGAAGTGCACCTGATAACAAATAAAACCCAAGTGTGTTAGTATAAGATGACAGAGTCACAGTTTAACTTATTCATTGTTGCTTTGGACTTTAGGGTGATTCTGGTGGACCGCTGATCTGCAACGGGCATCTTCGAGGAATAACGGCTTACACAGCTGAAGGTCAATGTGATAACCCAAAGTTCCCACATGTCTTCACTAAACTTGACTTCTATCTCCCCTGGATCAAGAAAGAGATGCAAAAATGATTTTTTTTCTTTTTCTTACAATAGAAGGCGTTTAGCCCAGGTATGGAGCAAAAAAATGTTCTGCTTGTCAAATATTTGCTTAATAAAAATTTATTTCATCACTTCTTATTTGATTAGATTTATTTCTTATTATTCATCTTTAAATGATCCAAATTAGGTATTTACATTTGTTTCTGGCGCTGGTTTCTTTTGTTTGGATCCTAATCAGTTACAGTGATGATGCCAAAAGCTTGGCATACCTATCTATGTGCAGTTTTGCCCATTCCTCTTTGCAGCACCTCTCAAGCTCCATCGGGTTCGATGGGAAGCATTAAAGCAGCTTTTTAAAGATCTCTTTGGAGATTTTCAGTCAGTTTCAAGTCTGGGCTCATGGCTGGGACGCTCGAGGACGATCACAGAGTTGTCCTGTGGACGCTCATTTGATGACTTGGCTGTGTGTTTGGGGTTGTTGTCCTGCTGAATGATAAATTGTTGCCTCTGTCTCAAGTCAAGAGCTCTCTGGAGCATGTTTCTGGACATTAATCTTTCCATGTCTCCTAACTCGTCTCCCAGTTCTGCTGAAAAACATCCACACAGCATGATGCTGCCACCACCATGCTTCACTATAAGGATGACATTGGCCTGGTGAGGAGTGCTGCCTGGTTTCCTCCAAACATGACAGCTGGCATTCACATCAAAGAGTTCAATCTTTGTTTGATCAGACCAGAAAGTTTTGTTTCTCAAGGTTAAAGAGTCCTTCGGGTGCCTTTTGGCAAACTCCAGCCATGCTGCCATGTGCCAAGGCCCTTCTCCCCTGATGGCTCACTTAAGAGGGTTGACTCTAGGGTGAGTCCTGATGGTTTTGAACTTCTCTTACTACTCAGATTTGCAGTGTTGGGAAAGTTTGTTTAAAAAATGAACTAGTTCAAATTTCAATTCATACATTTTAAAATGAACTAGTTCAAATTTCAGTTCATACATTTTAAAATGAACTAGTTCAAATTTCAGTTCATACATTTTAAAATGAACTAGTTCAAATTTCAGTTCATACATTTTAAAATGAACTAGTTCATTTCTTAGTTCATTATTTAAAAAAATTGAACTAAGTTCCCTGAAAACAAAGTAGTTCATTGGTAGATTTTTCTGTTTGAATCAATCATAAACAGTTGCTAACATATTTTTGTCCAATACCAGATAAGGTTTATTATAAAAGTTTGTGTTCGTTTTTCGTAGTATGTTAATTGGGTTAGGCGTAATCAGTATTTATTACTTCAGCCTAACCCTTTCGGTCATGTTGCACATGTAAATTAGAATTTTTTTGTTTTTTTTTTTTGTTCGGCGTTTAATGGAGTGTAATAATCGAATAAACTAAACTTCACACTGTGCAACAGGAAGCACCTGAGCTCAATCTGAGCTTCATGGCAAAGGCTGTGAATATTTAAGTGAATTCATATAAATTTGTAAAACGTTCCCAAAGACTTTTTTTATGTTTTCTTTACGGGGTGTTGTAGAAAAAGTTGTAGAAAATATAAATGAAATCCAGTTTTGAAAGGTTGTGACTTAACAAAATGTGTAAAACGTGAACACTTCCTGTTTGCTCTGTAGCCCACACCTAAGGCGTGAAGCTCTGTGACACCTGCCCACACAGTTTCCATCTGAGTTTGGGGGTCGACTATAAAAGGAGGTATGGGAAGAGGCCCGAGACTCCTCAGACCCTTCTTTAACACAACCATGATACACCCAGGCTCCATCGTTTACGCCCTGGTGTTGGTCACAGTCACTGGTGAGATCAGATTAGTTTCATCTTTTAAAAAGTATAAACAACTCATAACTTTTTAGTGAATTTTGTAAATGTAAAATGCACACTATGTACTTTTTTAATCAGTTACCTTCACCAGAGAATGACATTTAACTGATGTTTTTTTATTGATTTTCTTTTTTTCTAGTGACAGGAGCTACTGAGAGTGGTATAGTAGGAGGTCGAGTTGCAATGCCGCACTCCAGACCCTACATGGCATCCCTCCATTATCAAGGGCAGCATCCGTGTGGCGGGATCCTCATTCGGAAGGACTTTGTTCTGACTGCAGCCCACTGCAAATAGTAAGTTTGTTTGGCCGTAGCTTAAAATCATTTTTTGCCCTTGAGATCAAAAGAAACCTTAATTTTATCATGTTTACTATTCACTGACCTTAGTTCAGTCTACCTGGACTTCTGGACGAGTGTTATTTTTTACAGATGTTTTATTACTCATGTTTGCTTCCAAAGTCACCCAAAAATCCAAAATTACCTGATTAATTTTCAGCTTGAGATAACTATGAGTAAAACTGGATCATGATTTGACAATGATTAAAAAGACATAGGAACATTGATGTTAAATAAAAACTTGACTATTTATCTGGGGAAATTCCAGGGGGGGATCCGTGGTGGGCCAGTGCCACCTTGACTGCAATCTTGGACCCCCCCAGAGCCCCTCTGTTGAGGGCAGAGCCTAGGCATTAATAAAAATCTGCAAAATAATTAATTTTTTATAATTATTATAGATGTTTTAAGGATGTAACCCCCCCCCCCCCCCCCCCACACACACACACACACACACACACACACACCGGACTTTATACAGGCATTAACATTTTCACACATTTCTCTCTCGTTTGAACACTCAATGCGTTGTAAAAAGAAGCATGCAAAATTCCGCTAAAGGTAAGAAATGTTTTCAGGTGTATTTATTAGTTTTCCCTTAACTACGTAATTAAAGTGAGCTGCCTGAACACTTTTATGGGCTGCCTGAATGTTTTTCCTCACAAAAACATCGTTTGAACACCCAATGCCAATTATATTACAGCCGTAGCTGTCATGATCCGCCCCGGCCTCCCTGACTGTGTCTCTCCTGCCCTGATTAGCCTTATTGTTCTCACCTGTCCCTGATTACTCTGCCCATGTGTTCCTGATTCCCTTGTGTATTTATACCTCCCTCCTTGTTGCTGTCTTTGTCGGTTCATTGTCGCTTGTGCATGTTCGTTCGTCCTGTTGCTCCCGTCCTACAAATAAACATCTTTTTATTTTTTACATCTGTCTGCCTGCTCTTCTGCCTCCTGGAACCCACCACCACACATGGTCTGCCACCTCCACCCGCAGAACATGACAGTAGCTGCACTACAAAAACAATAAAACCACCAGATGCCCCGTTTGGTTCGGGTCCAGCATTTCACTCCACAGCTGCCCCGCGCTGTTACCAATGTAACTTTTAAAACCAGGAGAGACCCTGGATATGCAAAGATGGTCACGTCTAATGCTTTTCCTTCCAGCTGCGGACATTTTTTCAAATTAGACATAAATTGTTCAACTATTACCAGCATATATGGTAACCACTAGCTTGCAACCGCTAGCAGCCAGTTCCGGACTCTGATTGGTTCTTTTCTCATCTAGTCCCACCTCTCCCAATTGTTGATGTTTTTTTTTAAATTCTGGTCATCTTTTCCATTTTCTGATTGGATTTTCATTAGAGTCAATTATCTTTGTCGCCTTTTAGTTATTGATGGAAAAAATCAGTGAAGGGTGAACCGCGTTATAGCGAGGGACTACTCAAAGGCAATGTTTATAATGTTTTCCTAGTGGGCCTCGCTAACAGAGCAGCTCTCGTGCTATTTATTCTTGTTTTTTAGTCAAGATAACATGGTTGTGGTTCTTGGAGCACATAACATCAGCGATAAGGAGAAAATGCAGCAAAGGATTGAAGTTGCAAAGTACTATAAGTATCCAGATTACACTGGAGGGTTTGACTATGACATCATGCTTCTCAAGGTAAAAACACTTAGTTTTCTATCTTTTATTTTCTCACTTATGTTGAATTTGCTTAAATCTTACAAAATTAAGCTGAAATAAAATAAGTTTTCATTTTTAACACGTTTGTTTAGGTATGGGTGGTGATGTAAAACATTTACCTTACACCTCTGATGCTTTGTTAAACGTCACATCTCAACTTACAGTCAGGTCCATAAATAATGGGACATTGACACAATTCTAACATTTTTGGCTCTATACAATGGATTTGAAATGAAACAACCAGAATGTGCTATAACTGCAGAGTTACAGCTTTAATTTGAGGATATTTAAATCAGGTGAACTCAGGTGAATTCAGGTGAACGATGTAGACAACAGTTTACATAAGTGCCTTCCACTTGTTAAGGGACCAAAGTAATGGGACAGAATAATCATAAATCAAACCTTTTCTTTTTAATACTTGGTTGAAAATCCTTTGAAGTCAATTACAGGCTGAGGTCTGGACCACATACACCACCAGATGCTGGGTTTCATCCTTGGTGACGCTCTGCCAGACCTACTGCAACTGTCTTGACTGAAGGCTTGTTCTTGGGGCCTTTTCAATTCAATTCAATTCAAAAATACTTTATTAATCCCAGAGGGAATTTGATTGCTGTAGTAGATCAGAATAATAATAATAATCAAGTCATCAAAAAGTTATTGTATATTACAATGGCTGTTGGCAGGAAGGGTCTCCAGTAGCGGTCAGTGTTGCAGCGAAACTGAAGAAGCCTCTGACTGAAGACAATCTTCCGTTGTCGGACAGTCTTGTGAAGAGAATGCTCAGGGCTGTCCATCATTTTCTTGATTGTAATTGTAATGGAAAATAGTAGAGTAATGTGGGCTAAATAAATTGCTTTAAAAGCTATTTATTTCTATTCTCATTACTTGTGACCAGTAGCTGTAATACTCTATTACTTATAGAATATCACCTTGCTTGGTCTTAGGATGATTAATTAGAAGGTTCTAGGATTCTTTTAATTGTTAAGGGATCGTTAACACTTCGTTCATGATTCAAGAACCAGTCAGTGTTTGTAAACAAATAAGAATTTATTTTAAAAACAAAGACTTGACAAATGGTTTAAACTATTATCCTGTGAGTGGATGGAACTAAAAGATGGGTGTCTGAAAACTTTGTGTGAATATGAGATGATGAATCAGAATCTACGTATCTTCAGAGAGGTGCGCTCTGGATAAAATAATTTGGTTTGCAGACAAGCTAGCTGTTATTTATCAAACTGCATACAGACGCTATCTGTGTGTCTACATTACCGTAGAGGCACCCTCTTGGTGGATCCGAAAGTCAGAGTGGTCAGATTACCGCTGGCACCGGAGGGCTGTAGAGTACCGAGGTGCCATGTTTTCAGTCCTAGAGATGTGTCGGGTCACGACAGATGGATGGAAACCACGCGTCTTAAAATAACTCTGTAGGAATTTTGCTAAATCAGCTTTGTTCTGCAGGAAAACTATCTTGTTGTTCAGCTTCACAGGTGCGGAAAAGGTTTAAGGTTTTGGCAGCGTGTCAAAATCCTTTCTGGGTTAAAGATCTGCTAGAGATGGCCAGTCTCCAGCTTGCTCTCAACTGACGAGAAAGCAGAGCGGCTGGCTTATATACCGGCTGTTATCTATTACCAAACTTACCAAGAATCTCAGAAACACACGGTCTGAGACGCAGCGTCTCTGAGTCCAGGGACTAGGTTTGTTATGTGTCATGCGTTCTTCATTTTAGCCTTACTTCTTGTCTGGTGTAATGACGACCTCATCCTGTAAACATTACTAAAACATTGAGCACATTAATTAGACATTTCATTGCTTATAATTCTACATAACAAAAGTTCATTCAATTAATATTTTGAATTATAAGGATTACTTTTAATTATGAAATCTTCTTTCTTCTGGGAATAAAGATTTATCTAAAACAGTTCTCTTGTGAAAGGCCTTGGGGAAAGGAATGCTACTGTTCATGTTTATTATCTGATGAAGCTGCGCTCAGCTGATGAAGTCATCTGATTAAAATGCTGAGCTGTGCAGACTCACAGACTCCTGACGAGGGAAGATACAGCAGAACATGTAGCAGCCAGGGTTATCTGCTCTGGCTGCATACGACCTGTGGGATCTTTAAAATCAGGCCATTTGGTGACGTTACACTCTGGAGAATCCTTCTTTGCATTATCTCCTCCAGTGGTTCCACAGTCGTCCCCAGAACAGAACCAGCCTTTGTTATTGGCTGTTGAGCCTTTCCAGGTCCCTGCTTCTGATGCTGCTACCCCAGCAGACGATGGCTGAAGAGATTACACTCTCAACAACTGACTTGTAGAAGATCTTCTCTTCAGTTTTGTGTTCAGCAAGTGAAATGCATGCTCAATCGGATTCAAGTCAGGCGATTGACTTGGCCATTGCATAGCATTCCACTTCTTTGCCTTAAAAACTTTTTGGTTGCCTTTGAAGTATGCTTTGGGCCGTTGTCTATTTGCACTTGAAAATGCCGTCCAATAAGTTCTGAAGAATTTGGCTGAAAATGAGCAGATAATATTGCCTGAAACACTTCAAAATTCATTCTACTGCTTTTGTCAGCAGTCACATGATCAATAAATACAAGAGAACCAGTTCCATTGGCAGCTACACATGCCAACTTCAAGACACTGCCACCATGTATCCCTGAAGAGGTGGTATGCTTTCCTTCTCCATACTCTTCTCTTACCATCTCGCTGGTATATTTTGGTCTCATCTAGGATGTTGTTCCAGAACTGTGAAGGCTTGTTTAGATAACGTTTGGCAAACTCCAATCTGGCCTTCCTGTTTTTGAAACTCACTAATGGTTTACATGTTGTGGTGAACACTGAATGCATTCTGGTGAAGTGTTCTCTTGATTGTTGACTTTGACACACATACAGTACGCCTACCTCCTGGAGAATGTTCTTGATCGGGGTAAGGATTCTTCGGTCATTTATTTTTTGCGATCTTCCAGGTCTTTTGGTGTTGCTCACCAGCATGCTCCTTTTTTTTAAAGAAGGTTCTAAATAATTGTTCCAAGCACTACCAGAACAGCGGCTTCCTTTTCAATTTTCAAGAAAATCCTGAAGACCCTGCTCTTCAGAGAGCATCTTCTTAACTAACACCTTGCCTGCACCCGTCCCCCCTCTCTACTGTCCACTCCTTGTTCCCTCGTCTCCATGACTGATGTCAATGTTGTTGTTGTTGTTAGCCTCAAGGGCAAAATGCCGATTATCACTTGTAAGTCGCTTTGGACAAAAGCGTCTGCTAAATACATAAACATGAACATAATTGTTGTGGCCACTTCTAGTGTTTTTGCTATGTCTCTGGATTAGTTTTGTTTTTTCAGCCCAACAATGAGACTTGCTTCTCTAATAGTGACAACTCTTTGGATCTCATCTTGAGCGTCGACAACAACTGGTTCCAAATGCAAGTAGCACACCTGAAATGAACTATGGACCTTTTATTTGCACATTGTAAGTAGGATGACGAAGGAATATAACACGGCTGTTGGCCATGGAACAGCTGAGAAGCCAACTGTCCCATTACTTTTGGTCCCTTAACAAGTGGGAGGCACATATGCAAACTGTGGTGATTCCTACACCGTTCACCTGATTTGTAATGTAAATAACCTCAAATTAAAGCTGCCAGTCTGTAGTTATAGCACACCCTGTTTGTTTCATTTCAAATCCATTGTGGTTGTCAAGAGCCAAAAATGTTAGAATTGTGTCGATGTGCCAATAATAAATATGCACTTGACTGTACCTTAGTAGGAATCACAAATATTAATCGGGTTTTAAGCTAACTTGTGTTGTTTTGTTACAGCTAAAAACCAAGGCCACGCTGAATAAGTACGTCAAAACCATTGACCTACCAAAGAAAGATAGAAGCTTCCCAGCTAATGTTAAGTGTGCTGTAGCAGGCTGGGGCAAAACTGGATCCACAGTAACTAACTCAAAGGTTCTCAGGGAAACCACGGAGAAAACACAATCAAGCCCTGAGTGCAAAAAGGTTAGGGGAGAGTATTTCTCTGAGGATGATTTGCACCAAGTTTACCAAGAAAAAGGGAGGAATATGCCAGGTATAAAAAAAAAACACTGTAAAAAGTGCATCATGATAAGGAAACACAAATATTTCAAATAGCAAATGTTTAAGTTGTGTTGCTACTAAATGTAGGAAGTAGGACGATATTCATGAATAAAAGCTGCAAACAAATCTTCCTATTGCTGGTGGACCACTTATCTGCAACAGCAAAGTCGAAGGAATAACTGATTTTCCAGCTGAAGATGAATGTGATAATCCAGATTATCCACATGGGTTTGTTAAAGTTGGTTTCTATCTTCCCTGGATCAAGACAACATCGGAGAAATAAGACAATGCTGCACAGATTCTCTATTACACCTCATTAAATAAAAGAAACCTGAGTGAAAATCAATGTTTTACATATGAGCGAAAAACGTATTTACAAATTCTATATTAAAATACATTTACCTTTAAATGCCTTTTAATTTTCCAGATTACCTTTATGTATCTGTTGTGAATGATCCGTAAAGAGTTAATCGACTATTTACAGAAGAAATTCCATGAGTTTAAGTGAAAGCTGGTGCTGGTTGGAGTTGTTTTCTTTAACTAACACGGTTGAGTTGATGCATAAAAAAAAGCAAAAGTAACCACAGACCACCGCGGCTGCAGTCATGGTTTTCGGTCATGTGATAGCACAGCTGTGGAGCAAGAAAATATGTTCGTTTTTGCAGAATAAAAGCTTTTTCCACACTTCTTCATTTTAAAAGTTATTTTATTTCTAATGAAATTTCTCTTTATATGGTGTTTATTAACATTTCAGGAATTTGTTCCTTTTTCTTTAGATTTTAGTCAGCAGGAAGTGCTGGGGATGAGGGGTTTCCTTCTTTGAGCGTTGTGGGTAAGTCCACAGCTGCAAAGATAAAACCACAAGGTCTGGAAATAAATTATTTGCAAAAATGTTATTATACAGCATAACTAATGAAAATAAAATGTATATATTACATACACTGGACAGAAGGAGGACACAATGAGGAAGAATGTGTCCAGTGTCAACTTGTAAAATGTAGGAGACAGCTCCTGAACTGTTTACAGTGATCCCTCGTTTATCACGGTAGATGCGTTCCAGACCTGGCCGCGATAGGTGAAAATCCGCGAAGTAGGGACACCATATTTACAGTATTTATTTAACAGGTACGTATTCAGTATTCAGACTTTTAAAACCCTCCCTTTGCATAGTACTGTATTTTACTTGTTTTTTTTATAGTTTTATTACAAAAAGAGCATTTTATGATGAAATTGATGAAAAAAAAAACAGGAATTTCTTGATATTTCGCATAGAAAAATACGCGAATCGGTGAATTTCCCTTGAATAAGGCTCCAAAGAAAAAGTAGCGAGGGATCACTGTATTTGGAAATGTGATCATGTTGGTAGAAACATGGCCATTCTGTCCTTCTGCTTCCCAGGAAGCAGCTTCAAAGAGTAAATAAAGACCTAAACTGGATCGGTTTCTGTTCCAAGAGTCATTTTTTGAGAGGTAGCCAAGCTGCACACAAGCTTGTTTTTGGGAAGACACTAGACAGCATATAGAAGATTAATGCATGGAGGAGCGTTAAACTGCATGGAAAGGCCATGAAACAAAGCATGGCCTTCTAAATGAGAGGTATCAGTGCTAACCACCACACCACCACCATGCTGCAGAGATAGCCACAGTAGCCACACATTTGATTTTCTGTCAAAGAATTTCCAAGTTAAGATTCACTATAGTCAACGGTATACTCAAATGGATGGCACAGGCAGAGGAGTGCACCCCCCAGCAGGCACAGCTTGCCTGAGCCCTGACCCACCCACGCCCAGGGACTTTCTACTTGAAGCATGGGATCCACCCTCCATCAGCCAGGCTGTTCATCAACCCAGAAGGGGACCGAGGCCTTCCCCCAGAGCCCTAAACGCAAGTCGCCTATGGATGCACATCCTTGGTAATCAGCAGAAATACACACAGGCCTCTCTGATGGTCGAGCATTTAAACATTCAGCTGATATCTTTGGCAAAATATGTGGCAATCGTTAAAAAGATTGATGTTTCTATAGTGACGCATACCAGGACAAGTTTAACGGTTTACAGACAAGAAAAGTGTGACAAGTTTAGCAGCTGAAGGTGGGAATACTTGCACTGCGTGCATGAAGATCTCTCAGTACCTGCCCACAAAGTTTCCATCTTAGTTGGGGGGGGGGGGGGGGGGTGACAATAAAAGGTGAGGTAGGGGGTCAAAAGTCATTAGACTTTTCTTCAGCACAACCATGATGCGCACAGTCACCATCATTTATGCCCTCGTGCTGGTCACCATCACCGGTAAGATCAGAAGGTTTTTATAAACCCACGCCATTTTAAACTATATGCAGCTCATGAGTGGAGTAACATCAACACTTGGTACATTTTCACTAATCTGTTATTTCTAGCAGACATAAATGCTGTTCAGCTGTGAATTTTCATTGATTTGACTTTCTTTTTATGACAGGAGCTACTGAGAGCGGTGTAGTAGGAGGTCGGTTTGCAAAGCCGCACTCCAGACCCTACATGGCATCACTCCAGTATGAAGGGCACCATTCGTGTGGTGGGATCCTCTTTCAGAAGGACTTTGTTCTGACTGCAACTCACTGCAAACAGTACGTTTGTTTGGCAGAAATCTTTGTTTTTTTTTCTTTTGGGATCATTAGAAACTTTCTTAACTTGTTTACTGGGCCATGCACCATCCCATTGGATGGTCTTTTAGGTACAAACACAATTATTTGTTAGATATAATTTTTTTCTTACATTTGTTTCAAATGACACAAAAAATATGAAATTATAGGGATGTCCGATATTGTCACCCTACCATGATCATATCGGAAGTTATGGTATTGGTTTTTGTATTTTCAGGAATTATTTAGGATTTTCTTTTATCTATATGTTACAATCTTACCCTGAACTGTGATATAATTCCCCGTAATGTTCAGTTCAGTGCACATTTACAATGTTCTGTGTTCATTTACACTTTATCAATGACACAAGTACTCATATTTACACATCCTAACAAATCCTACAATGGTTGCCTTTTTAATAAGAACAAAGTAATCAAATGGACATTGTGGTTACAGAAATATACTCAGTAAAGTGTGGGTGTGTTATCTGTGCCTCAGTAAAATTATTTTTAATTATTGAGAAACTGTTTGAGGGCAAATTTTCCTGAAGATTAATTACTGTCAGGTTTAAACCCCTAGACACCATACACAAGGAAGAAAAGAGACACAAGGTCAGAATTCTGTTTTCTGCTCGAGGAGAATGGAATAAGGCCTCACCAACCCAGTCTCCACTGAGCTGACGGTTCCTTCAAACCATTCTAACTTTGAGATCCAAGCATGTTCTTTCATTACAAGCTGGGAGGGTCCCTAGACACGTGCCCGATGAGCTGATTTGAAGGGAGGGGGAAAACACAGCTCTCAGTTTTTAATTGTTACAAGTTTCACACAAAGAGCATTCAGTGCTAATCAGTGTTTAATCACACAATGTGCAACAAACAGTTGCACGAGTCAGCAGCTGTCCAAGTCAGCAGATGTCCTTTGGGTCACGTTAGGTCAGGACCAAGATTCAGCATTTTTACATGAGACTTCAAACAGCAACTGTTTAAACAAAAATAGTAAAATCTTTAAATGTAATAAAAGCATAAAGCATGATAAAAGAAAACATATATAATTACCTTAACAATTACTAAGCCTTTGATTAATTAGATTAATTTATTTAACCGTGTCTCAAACCTATTATATGCATAAGTACAACAAAATGAAGGAACAGCATAACATGAGAGTAAAAAGTTTGAGACAACCTCTGTTGCCTGGTTAGAGGTGCGCATTCACGAATTAAAAAAGTTGCCTTCAGTGACAAACATGGAAGTGCATGGTGGCGCCGTTGTTAGCACTGTTGCCTTGCAGAAAGAAGGTTGCAGGTTTGAAACTCAGCTGCAGCCTTTCTGCGTGGAGTTGCATGTTCTCCCAATGCATGCGTGGATTTCCTCCGGGTGCTCTGGTTTCCCCCACAAATCCCAACATGCCCTATAGATAAAAAATTGTACGTGGCTTTGGATGAAAGCGTCTGCCAAATAAATAAACACAAGTAGGGAGAGGGGCCTAAAGGTGCCATTTATTTTTCTGTCTCTAGGTGGTGCCATCTGAGAAAAGAAAACTTTGATTTTTGCTTTAATGACACAACTTAATACCGTGCAAATATCACACATCAGTTTCTTCAGCTACTTCTCTTGCTCAAAACGCCAACATATGACAAATCTGAGGTCTAGTTTAGGCAAAACTGGCTTAACGTTCGTCAAGTTATGCACAGATAATATTTAAAGTAGAAGTGTGTACGATAGAAGATATTCAATTCAGTTCAATTCAAGTTTATTTATATAGCGCCAAATCACGACAAAAGTTGTCTCAAGGCACTTCACATAATAAACATTCCAATTCAGGTCAGTTCAAAGTTTAAAGTCAAAGTTAAAGTCCCATTAGTTGTCACACACACAGGTGTGTGTGTGAAATTTGTTCTCCGCATTTGACCCATCCCCTGGGGGAGCGGTGAGCTGCAGACACAGCCGCGCTCAGGAACCGTTTGGTGGTTTAACCCCCCCCAATCCAACCCCTTAATGCTGAGTGTCAAGCAGGGAGGCATTGGGTCCCATTTTTTCAAAGTCTTTGGTATGACCCGGCCAGGAATCGAACCCCTGATCTCCCAGCCTCAGGGCAGACACTCTACCACTAGGCCACTGAGAAAGGTAAGCCAATTAATCATTAAGCCAATCAGAAAATTGTTTCCTATATAAGGAACCCAGCAAATTGCATCAAGTCACTGACTAGTGTCAGTGACTTTACAGCAATCCTCATACTAAGCAAGCATTTAGCGACAGTGGAGAGGAAAACTCCTTTTTAACAGGAGGAAACCTCCAGAGAATCCTGGCTCAGTATAAGCAGCCATCCTCCACGACTCACTGGGGA